TTTTAGCCTTTTTGCCTACTCGAGGTCCTCTATCGAATGATGTATGAACGAACGAAATCGGAGCCGGACACCTGGGGCGGTTCCTTCGTAAGTGCACCTAATACCATACATGTAATGACGAAAACTTCGTTCTTAATATTTGATTGAACAACACGACACGCATTAATAAAGACATTTGCATAATTTGCATACGAATTGACCAATCTGTTGAAAGAAATGAGAGGTTATAAAAGAATTTTCTGTTGAATAGTTTGAGAGTACGTTGATTTATCTAGCTTTTGATTATTCAATGTTATACTACGAATACAATATCACAATTGATCATTTATGTATGTAACCCACTGTTGCCCTACGGATACATACGGGACTATTAGCTATAAAAGAGAAGAGAAAAGTATTGTTCAACACTACTGATATCACACCATTTGTACGCCTGATTGATTAACCGTTTTATTTTTCAGCTTTATCATATTCGATGATGTTAGTTGAATTTTAGTTAAAATATTACCAACACAATTGTTACTTTTTCGAATAGCACGTTTCGACCAAAGAATCTTGGAGAATCCAAGATTTTTTTCCTACTCTTTTTGGTATGTTGACGTTTCACATATTTACTAAAATATTTTGACTATTGTTGGATCTGATAAGTTTGATCATATTGAAATTATAGTTAAATATTGTTATCGTAGTAATTTGAATTATAAAAGAAATACGGTTAATGAACGTGCATAGAGAAGAAGAGGACAAATTTTTTTTATAATTATTTATCCGAAAATATATGCTTCCTCCAGCGCCAAATAAAAAGTAACATTTTTAATTCTAAATTTTATACTTCTAATGAACAGTTTTTGATATTATGCATATTAATTGCAGACAACCAGCTGTTTCTAAAGATCCGTACCATGAATATGGTACATGTCACATACCAACACAATGTCGTCATTATACAAAAGAGTATTTATATGCTCGAGAATTTTCACCTACACAAAAACAACTGACATCAGAAGGAAACATATCATCGTATTCGATGGATTCGAATCAAGTGGGAGCAGAATCAGGTGAATCAAATTCTAATGCTTACCTAGTGGATCTGGCGTTATCTCCTGAAAAACATTTTGAACCATATAGAATAAATAATAATGATGAACAAAAGCAAAGTTTAGATCCAACACCATTACCAAGACACATTGAACAAATTATCGGTAAAATTGATCGTCAGTTTAAATTCGTTTAGTGGTTTTTTGAACAAGTTAAAATTCTTTTTCGTTTTTAAGCTGAACCATTTAGTGATCAATATTTTTCCAGAAATTATGGATATGAAGAAGATCCAGTTCAAAACGAAAAACAATTAGCTAATATGGCCAAACTGTGGGATGTCGAACGAATTGCTATTCAAAAACTTCAGCATGATTTAGACAAAAATATATTTCAAAGTATGACAACAAAGAAAAATAACGTTTGTCTTTCTATTGTATTATTTCATTCAGAAACGTTTGATTATGTGAAACATTTTGGACAAAGTGTTGTGTTTGCTCTGTGGTTATGGACACATCGACCAACTAAATGTTCACAACTTGCCAATCAACTATCATCGACCATTCCCGGAATCAATGTCAGGTGTAAAACAACACCAACACGATTGTGTACACATCAGAAAAAATGTGAAGTTTGTCCACCATGTTCAGATAATTTTTGTTGTCATGAAGTTGCCATTGATGCAAAACAATTTTCAGAAGACCAGGATGATGAAAAAGACGTCTCATGTATCAATGAACCATCATCATTATTTTTGAAACATCTTATTCTAGATGAACAACGAGAATATTTACCACCTATTACACGTGCATTGAAAAATATGCTGGATAACAATTATGATTACGTAACAGACGAGACGAAAGACAGTTCTATATTATGGCCACACTATATAAATATGGTGAGAGAAAACTTAAGAAGTAAAATGGTCATCAACAACACATATTCACGACAAAACCGAGATAGAATCAATACAAAGTATCTACCAGGATACAATACTCCACGTAGTCTCAGAACGGCCTCAATTGATGTAACGAGAAAAAAAAGTCCAAATACAACAAGATCTCGAAAACAATGGAAAAATGAGAAGAAGCACAAACGAATAAAATCAAATGGCCAAAATAATGGTAAAAAAAAAGAAAAAGAAAACGATAATGACTGCAGAATCGGTAAAAACGAAAAAGTCGCCATTACAAGGGCAGAGTCCGTCGAGCAGAAGAGAAAAGCGATCAGAGAAGCGAAGTAAATCCAGCGGAGACAGCAACAATCACGAGATTAACGCTGAAGAAAAGGTAGACCAGCATGCCTAAGAAAACGTTCTTGGAAAAGTTTTATCGTGTACGAGATGATGATGTTCTATTTGCAGATTTTCTTCAACAAAAAAGATAATCTTATTCTAAGCGTTCTGCCATAATCAGAGTGAGGTCATTTCTCTTTAGGAAGTTCTTCAAAAGAGTCTCGCATCTTTTCCATCAACAAAAGCTCGTTCATCGAAGTCCAAAACAAAACCAAAAGGAAGAAACTCGTCAAAATCATGGCAACGTTCAGATGAAAGTGGAAAAAAGAACAAATCAAAATCTCGATCTCACAAATATACAGAAACTTCTTCAAAAACATTGCATAACACTGAGCTACAGTCAAAAAAATCATCATAGAAACCTTGTAGACAAAACAGTGCATTTAAGTGGATTGAGTCGTAAAAGTTCTCAAAATAAATGAGCACGTAGTAAAAGAATTCTAAAGTAAACAATTGTCCTCTCTCTGAACGTTCGCCATTAGGAAGAGTGTTAAATTGATTCAAGGAAAGTGGAATCCATGAATGTTGCTCCCCAGTCAGTTGCTCCCGCGACATTTGCTCCCCGGACACTTGCTCCTCAGAGACAATTGCTCCCGTGACAGTTGCTTCCCAATGACACTTGCTCCCCGAACAGTTGCTCTCCAATTTCACTTGGTCTTGAGCTATGCCTTTTTTTGTTGACAAATTCAAAATAATTTTTAAAGTTTTAGAAACCGGTAAAATTATGAACAGACTGAGATAATCAGAAATTCGTGCAGGATTTAAAACCACTGGGTAATTCTCGAATTAGTTGTAAACTTATAGCTAATTCGACTCCATTTTACCAGAGTTTCAAAGCGTGGTGGTAGAGATGTAGAGATCCATAAAGGATGCAGAACAAAAAATACGAAAACGCTTTAGATTACTAAGAAAACCACCATCAAAATAAAATATAATAAAGTGACAGTGTTCTTTTCTGTTTCATACTGTCTGTTAATTATTTCTCTGATCTTATATTATTACACTGCAACTAATTAATTAAATGTCAAAAAAAGATAATCCAATAAAATATGTTTAATATGTTGACAAGCTTAAACTTCTAATTAATTAATCTCTTTGACCAGTCTGATCTAAAAATGTGTATATCTATTTCGATAATACGTTTTTTTAAATTTATAATGTTTCAATTATTTATATAATTAATAAGATCTTTGTTTTACATTCTTGTATTCCATATCTTAATCTAATAAACTTATACATTGTATTTGTATGTCATAAAAATTCTATTTGATATTGTCATTCGGGAGCAAATACTCGGGGCGCAAATGTCTTTAAGGAGCAACTGTCACGGGCGCAAGTGCCTGGGAAGCAATTGTCGCTGGGGAGCAAGTGTCCGGGGAGTAAATGTCACGGGAGCAACTGTCTGGAGAGCAACATTCGGGTTACCAGAAAAGTGAATATAGATAGTAGCGAATTTAGAAGGGGTGCGTGCGCAAGTAGTATGAACAAAAGTTTTCATCGTCAACACAATATTTAAAAATCTGACAAAAATTTTTCCATATTTGGCGAGTAAAATTTAAAACTTTACCCGAAGGCCCCTCTATCTGTCTTTTTAAATCCGCCATTGGGTTTAGAACTAACGGGAGCAGGTCAAAATCGACGTATATTACGGAAAAAAAGAAGCGGGGAGAAAATCAAAATATGATCCTCAAAACAATTGAAGAGACTTTTCTTTCGTCTAATATTCCTGATAGTGACGTTCTGATTCCGAGTTAGAACGGATGATCCAGAAATAATGAGCCTCTCAGTATTTTTACTATACAAGATAGGTCATTTCCGCTGAAAAATGAACAAAAAAGCCATTTTTCGCTGGGACAGTATTTTGCATATAACTTTTGTTCCGAAAAAGATGGAGAGCTGGCGTTTTCACCATTGAAATCAGCTTCCAGAACTGCATCTAACAATGTGTGTCGCACCGCTGGCGTAATTGGTCGATGTAATGGTGGTATGTTCCCTGTGGATTAACCCATCAACAATCGACCAAGTCTTTACACTCAAAATGGTGATGGAGAAGTCAAGAGAATTTAATAAACCTCTGTATCTGTGTTTTATTGACATACATAAGGCGTATGACTCCGTAAACAGAGAGATTTTATGGAAAGTCTGTCGACAATATGGCTTAACAGAGAAGATCGTACGAATGTTAAAATTAGTGTACAAGAACACCAGAGCACAAGTGAAAATTAACGGTGGACTTTCTGGAGTTTTTGATATCGAAACGGGTGTTATGCAAAGTGGTATTCCGTCTCCTGTCCTGTTTAATATTGTATTCGATTTCATCGTTAGGAAAGTATTAGAAGAATCTGGTATTGAGGGCGTGAAGTTTGCTTATGGAAGCAATGATTTCTATCATGGTGCCAGAGAGAAGTTTGAAAAGTTTGATATCTTAGCTTTGATGTATGCCGACGACCTGGTAGCAATGTGTAACACTCTGGACGATCTTGAAAAATTTATCAGGATTTTCGAAAAAGTGACTCAGGACTACGGACCACGGACTGACAATGAGTGTAAAAAAGACTTGCATTATGCCAATCCAACAGTTCAAAGAAGATACCAATGGAAAAATTGTGAAGAACCAGGAAGTTGATTTGCCTGATATCGACATTATCATTCGAAATCAAAGAGCTGTAACAGTAGACTCGTTCTCTCATCTCAGCTGTTGGACTTCTCGTGATCAACGACCAGACAAAGAGATAGAAGCTAGATTAACGAAATCAGCAACAGCGTTCAACATGCTACGGAATGTCATTTGGTACCGAAAGACTATATCGATTGAAGCCAAGTTACGGATATTCAGAGCATGCGTTCTGCGTGTTTTGTTATATAGTAGTGAAGTTTGGTCCTTGACCGTTGCTCAAGAAAACAGAATCAATACGTTTTACATGAAATATTTGGGAACGATACTGAGTCTGAATTTAGGTGACCATGTCTCAAATCAGAAAATAATGCAGCTGTCTGGTCAACCCTCAATTGAAAATCTGATGCGACGTAATCGCTTGAGATGGTTTGGCCATGCAAATAGAATGGAACATGGAAACGGGCCAGCTCTAGTTAAGAAGATAATGTTTTCCTACTTTCCTGGTGATAAACGTCCTGGAAACGGTGGTATAAGGCAAAGATGGGAAAACAAGATAATGGATGACATTGATAAGTTCGGTATCAGAAACTGGAGAAAAGATACTAGAGACAGAAATATCTGGCGTGTATTAATTAATAGACATGTACAATCCACTCCTGTCGCTTCAAACATCAAATCAATAATACAGGAGTACAAAGATAGTGCAAACAGAAGAAGATCAGAATTAGCCATTCTACATGGAGCTGCTCAGCGAAAGGTGACTGAAGTATTGGTGAAAGGCTCTAACAACAGTTACGAATGTCCCAATTGTCAAAAGAAGTTTAAAGCTCAAGGAATAACCGGTCATATTAGAGCGTATGCACCTCAATGGCGCAAAAATAACAACATCAAAATACCCAAAGTGAAATGAAAACAAATTCTAACTGTCACTCCTGGTGAAATGACCAACACAATCTAAGCCAGATACGTTTGAAGGATTGCGATCTGATGAATGACCTTGAATCGATAGCAGAATGTGAACGAACAGCTCCAAAGGCCAAAGAACACAACATTTTTTTGTCTCACCCTACACCGAAAGGTATCTGGGTATACTTACTTACTTACTAACTAAACTCGACTTCGTTGTACTGAACAAATTTGTTTTACAACCGCTGTTTTTTTACTGAAAAGCACAAGCTGTGGAAACTTGAACTAGCCCTTAGTTTCAAAAATCCTGCCATGTAATATTCTTGTAAGATTTCTAAGTATAATTTTAACTGTGTAATTTTAGGTAATCTAAAACAATATATAATTCATCAAGACGCTAACAAAACAAGGAAACAACTATCATAAGACCATAAACTTGTTTTTTTTTAATAGGAAACAGACTGAATGGCGAATAAATATATGAAAATAAGACAACCAAAGTTAGTTGAATAAATATATGATGATATTGACTGAAGATAATACTAATAAAATTAAATTAAATTCTTTTAAAATTTGACATTTAAAAAAATTTAAATTTAGTTTTTTTCAAAATTTTTCCATTAACTCTGAAAAACAGACAACGCTACCCCCCGCAGTCGGCCATTTCGCACACTTTTTGTAGCCAGCGTTTTTATCCACCATGCACCGTTTTTGCAGCATTTTTGGCAAGATTTTTTTCAAAATAGTTTTTCATTTTCCAGCAAAATACATGGAAAAAATAATTTTCTAACTCAATTTTGATCACTTTTTCTACGTTTGTGATCGCATAAAGGGGGTTTATCGTGGCGTGGTCCATCGAACTGTACAACATATCCCTTCAACTGTAATCAATGGCCCCTCGCCTTAATACTTACAAAATATTTGTATAGTGCTATAGCTTACAAAACTGCTTTATAAATCTACAGATTACTATACATATAGATGTTGGGTTTTTCTAAGATACTTTTTTTCATATATTTTTACCACTGTCATGTCACATAAGGAAAACATTTCACTACTTCTCTCGCTGACGCAGTAACGATGAGACGCGCGTTCTCATCCTTTTTTGCTCCGCGATTAGAAATACGACGGTGTTTTGTGTTTGTTAGATCCGTATTTCTCATAATTTTGAGATGATATTTTGCATTATACGCATGTCCTGAGCATTATAAAAAGCTTAACACCAGGAAATCAGCAATAAAAAAAAGTAAATGACTGTTTATTTGTTTCATATCGTCAGAATTTGAATAACACACACAGAAATTCGTATGAGAAGAGTTGTGAAAAGAAAAATGAATAAAGAAAGAAAGAAACCTTATTAAGGTGCGGGAAATTCAAAGTTCGAGTAAAATTTTTTTCTCATTGATTTATACATGGGTGCATAGAGTGAGTTCCTATTGAGAAAATTGAGAAGTATGGACAGAACTCTGATTTTTTCATGCATGATCTAGAAAAAATGAATTTTCGCAGTAACAAAGCAAAATGGAAAAAAAGCGATGTATAATTCTAAAGTGCGTTCAATGGTGGTTTTGATAAAGTATAAAGATTGGCTTCATCTTTTCACATTAGGTAGGTTTGTAAAATTGTTTATGAACTTTTACAGGAGTCCAAGACGCCTACACTAGCTGGATAGATCTTTGACTTCAATCTCGATTCTCATACTCAGTTTTTGATGTTGAATCTGAGAAAAATACTTTCGAAAAGTTAGAAGAACGAGAACGAAAAGAATGCGAATGTTTTTAAAACTGAAGGGGAGTTCGAAATTTTAGATCCTTCGACTTTTTTCAATAATTTTAAATTAAAAACCACTTTTTCTTACTCAGCTCGATGCGCTCTATCCATCCATGTATAAATCAATGAGAAAAAATTTTACTCGAACTTTGAATTTCTAGCACCTTATTTCTAAAAATGATCAACGATGGGTCATTCGTTACGAGAACACAAAAGATCACAGCATCCGTTCAACTAACTGCAGTACCATTAAGTATCATATTTTTTCCATTCCATGCCATCGGGAGCTTTTAATTCCGTCTTTTTCTGTTTAATATCATCCCAGTTTGTTGATAAAACTGTTCCTCCAGATTCAGACTAAAAATAAAACAAATTCGCAGACCATTTCTTCTTTTAAATTTCATTAAGATTATCCTGAGTAATGCATATCTAGTTGTTCATTACTTACAAATGACTTGTTCATAGCTCGTCGAGTTTCATCTGAGCCATCACGATAGATTTGTTGAAACAATCTGAAATATAGACAAGCAACCAATAGTATTATATCTAAAAAAGGTGATTATTTTCTCTCTTACTGGTTAACGGCAGCATCGCCTTCTAGTTTCTCGTCTTTTTCTTCATTTTTCAGTTCAACTTCAAGTTTATCCCAATCTTTTCGATGTCGACTTGATGATGGATAAGTGGGTGCAGCTTGCTGTTGTTGTGCCAGTGGTTTATTCATGAGAACTACAAAAAACCAACGACGATAGTCAAAGAAATAGTGCCGCGATGAGAGAAAAAACATGGGATCTGAGAGAACGTCCGAAAAGTAAAAGATTTGTTATCGCTGGGAGAATGTTCTTTCTCTCGCGAGGGAACATATGTAACTGACCAATCGTTTTTTTAATGGAATCTAGTGGAGTATAGGTAAAAAATAGTGCTGAATCAGAATATCCGCATGAGACAGGCCGCTAGGCCTTGCGAGTACCGGATTTCTGGGAAACCAGGTTTCCAGAGACAGAAACTTTTTGTTCAAAACTTTTTTCTGATCTGTCTCGATTGTAGAGCACATCGAGAAACCTATAAAAAATTAGTTTTGGGGTTTTTTAAAGTGTTTTTGCCCCCTCAAAAAACCTCAGCGTAGGGAAAAGAGAAGAAAAGTCCGTCTGGCGGGCTGTGGAAGGGTTCCAAAATTCGGAAAACTACTTTCTTATAGGTTTCTCGAGAAAGTTTGCTCACAGTGTGCTCGAAAAGTTTTGAAACAAAAAGTTTCTGTCTCTGGAAACCTGGTTTCCCAGAAATCCGGTACTCACAAAGCCTAGCGGCCTGTCTCATGCCGATATTCGGATTCAGCACTATTTTTTACCTATACTCTACTAGATTTCAGTAAAAAAACGATTGGTCAGTTACATATGTTCCCTCGTCAGTTATTTCGAATCTTCAAGATGCATACACGGTTTCCTTTGCGTGATATTTCAAAAAGATTTCGAGAGAACGTAAAAAATCGCAAAGTAGGAGAAAAATCTCTCCATCGAGTCACTACAAAAATGCAAAGAAATAACACAAAACAAGAGCGAACTTGGAGGAGCATTTGGATTCGTTTGTCCATCGAGATATGTCCATTGTATAGCATCTTTCTTAAATAATTTGATTTCTATCTAAAGTACGAATGTGATGTCTTCATTTTTTATAAAAAAAATTTAAAAGCCAACACTTACATTAGCACTAGACACTTTAAAATCTGTTCGTTCATCATTAATCGGATAGGCAAGATTAAGTTCGAGGCTATAATCACTATCAGATGATAGTTTAGCACTAACACTAAGCTAAAAATAAAGAGTTAAATGACATTTCTTTCCTGCTCGGGAAACTAACAAACGCACTGTTTTGTTCGTTGTCTTCACATGGACGTCTTCTTTTTTCATATTTTTAATTGGAATTACAACAAAAACATTACTGTCTGATTGGTACCAAGTATGTCTTTAAAAAACAAAAAAAGGAGAAAGATATAACATTCAACACAGAAAACTATCAGTTTATACTTACTTTATTTTTGGGGTTACAACATGTGTTTCTGCTCCAGACGTAGCAACTTTTTGTTCTTGTTGATTTGACGTATCATTTTGAGATTTAGTAGATTGCTCATCTAAACAACAAAAACTCAATTATAAAGGCCCGTTTAATACTTAAGAAAAACATGCATACGAGCTATTTCTTCTTCGCATTTTGTTCGCCAGATTTTTAATTGATCTTGATTTGCTGAAAGGAATGGAATCTTTTAACTGTAATGCCAATGGAGTTCTTGTTATTTGTTAGCAGATAAATCACAGGATAAAACTTACGATCAATTTCAAGTCCTAAAATATAAAACACAACACAACGTTGTATTCACTTGGAAAACAGTTTCTTTACTAAATGTTTTCAACTTACCGGAAGTGAACGATTTCAATGCTTCTTCTTTTTTGCCTAAATGATATGCAGATAATCTAAAATAGACATTTGTTCTTCATATCAGTGCTAACATAGTTCAATCTACCTACCCTTTTCTTAAATAAGCTTTCACATTTTTGCCGTCCAATTCCAATGCTTTGACACTATCATTTAATGCATCTGGATACACTCAAAATTACGATCCAAGCAAACGGATAATAAAGTTTTGAACACTCACCATCAAATTTATGCATTTTTAATAGACATTGTGCACGTGATGAGACTATTTTTGATGTGAATGATGCATCCGATTTATCATCTTGATCGAGTGAAGTTGAATATAACTAAAAATGTGACTTCATGAGAATATAATCAATAAGCTAACATACAAAGCTAAACTACTGAGTAACAAAAAAAACTTGTTGGTTGCTGAATATTACCAACATTTTACTTACATCTAATGCCTCTTGATATTTATCATCCACAAACGCTTCGTTTGCTTGTTCAAACAATTGTTTAAAATTAGCGTTACTTGAGCTCATTCTTTTATCGAAAAACTAATGTAGAAGTAGTGTTCAAACAGAAACGAACGAAAATGTTTCAAATCTAAAATATGCAGACGAACTCTTTGATAAAGTGGATATGATCAGAAAAATATTTCTAGCTTTTTCCAGTTATGTTGCTGATGCCTCTCGATTCCGAAAATTCGAACTATACAAAAAAAGAGTTTGTTTGCTGACGTTGCTCTAATCCTTGACACGCACGATGAAAATGTGAAAAAAGCACGTGATCAAAGCACGATAAAAACGGGATTAAAGCATGATGAAAACGTAAGAAAAAGCAAAACGTGCAAACCCGTTTCAAAGAACAATAAGCAGAGAATGATTCGTTTCCTAGTGCTGCTCAACTGTACATCTAAATGTAATATTTCTCATCAGAAGAGATGTTATTTTAAACAGGATCATGTCTAAAATTATCACAGAAGAAAATAATGACCGTTAGATATAACTTTTATCGTTAAAAGAGTTAGTTTTTAATATATATCTCTAAAACCCATTAATGTAAACACAATCTTTGTAACAGACGCGCATTTCTAGCTGTTTTATTCTTCTTCTTTCAAATGACAATATAATATATGTACAATGATAGATAGCAATATTATAAAATTTAAAAGGCAGAAAAGAAAACGTTCGATGAGCACAAAAAAAAGTAATAGCGAGCACAAATCTATATGTTTTATCGACTAACAAAATGAAAAGCAGAAAAGAAAAAGCGCCTGCGCACATATTTGATCGATGTGTTGTTTTTGATAATAGCATATAATTTACGGACTATTTTCAGTTTCTGTAGCACCAGCCAAAATACCTTCATAAGCAAAGCCAACAACGGGAAACGAGCTAGGTCCCAAACCATACTAAAAGAAGAAAAACAGTCTGATAGTGTGTAAACAGCAATTGAATGTAAAAAACACTAATAAGGTAGATATTCATTCAAAAAAACAAAAGATAAAAATATGAATCATTGAATACCAGATGACCGGAATATTTGTTTTCGTCAATGCTGTCCTCGAAGAACATCTAAATACAAAATTTTTCAAATATATGAAAAACTGAAAACGAATAAACAAACCTCTTTCATTTTGAAAAACGCTAAACCGGTCATCAGACTGTCGCTACCAGCTTGATGTTGAGGGCCAATACGTTCAATCTGAATAGAAATCATATGGATTAAATACAGCATCAAGTAATGGTATAAATAAGAGTAAAGTAAATTTTTTTCATTTTTTTAAGAAAAAACTTTCTATATGTTCTTCAAAACTATTAGGACAAACAACTCTGAACAAAGTAGTTTATTGTTAGTGCCAGTAGACTGATATTATCAATTTCTACAAATTTACAAATGTCTAATGTAAGATTAAAGAGATAATTTGACGTACTTCAAGTTGTTTAGTTACTTCCTAGAAAGAAATATAAAAGAAAATCAGTCCAATTTAAAAATATTGGCCTTGTTCCACTTACTTCCAGACCACCTTTTAAATTTTTACAACTTTTCATGAGATATTTCACATCATAGATATTTGGAAAAAATAATTTTAACAATTCAAAAAACTCATTTTCAGTATCTGGTAGTAATTTGCCCGTTAACATTTTCAGTAAGTAACCAAAATCATAGCCTCTAAAAATCAAAGATAAATTAGCGTAAATCAATATGTACTATTTATACGTACGAATGAAATGAAAGCCAAACAATATTATCCATAAATACAACACCAGATGTTGTCAATAATTCAGCAAACTGTTGTGGATCGATTCCTTCATCTTCATGTTTTTTAAACTGAATACCAGATTTTTGTAATAATTCAATTGAATCTTGAGCGTACATATCCATTCTAAAAAAAAAACTTTTCTATGATTCAATGAGATAATTGATATATACATACGTCAAATTAAAATTAAAATTAAACTGATATGAACTAACACCAGGTGGACTTTCTCCTTTTTCATTCATAAACGTTAAACCCAACTGAATAATTTTTAAAAAGTCAACATTTAATTTTAAACATTGATATTGATATTCAGCAGTGGTTTTAAATTCACCTAATGGACGAACAACTATGCCAGGAAACTCTGTATCCTTAAAAATACAAGTTGAATTTGTTTACAACAATAAAAAAAATCTTTCTCTCTATTTCTTTCTCATCTACTTACCATTGCTACAAACGGATATTGAAGAACAATTTTTCTAATATCTTTAAATTCTGTTTCTAAATTGTGCTGCCATACATCTTTAATCATATACGGATTTTGCTGCTCTTCCGGCATTTAATGTTTTAATTTTTCTGTAAAAGAGAAACATATAATTTACTCTACAATAGGTTATTTTTCTACGTCAAAATATTAAGATAAACGGACAAAATTAATCTTAAGTACTCTCGGAATATTTACCCTATTGCGTTTGAAAAGTGTCAACTGATCGAAGTTTTTAGGCAGAAAAAACATCTTCCAACAATTAAAAAAAGAATCAGTTAGTATGGCATGAAATCATTATCTAAGCATGAACTAATGAAATAAAAGTCAACTTTTTGTATATATTGAATAGATCATGTACATGCTTATAGAAATAGACCAATAGGTAATGATATGAAAATGAATAAGTGCATTAATGATTATAATCCAAATCATTTTTGATTAGTTGAAAAGTTCAAGAGATTTTTTTTATTGATTTACTTGTTTATGATTATTATATTTTTGATTTTATACAACATATTAGCAGGAACAACTAAATTATATTCTAGTAATAGTTAAAGATGATTTCATTCTTGAATTCAAGAAAATGATATATTAAAAAAGTAATCATTTTCAGTCTTTGGGATGTTAGTGAAAACAAAACATATTCATGTCATTAAATAACATTTTTTACTGTAGTTTACGGATAAAAATCAATATTTGTATAATTTTACAAAAAGGGATATCGACTGACCTATGTTGGCGATAATTTTCTTATCGATAGCACACTATATTACTGTAAAATGTTAAGTTAAAGGTGCCACTTATGTGAATTATGCCTGTTTAATCATTTTCTAAATTGGTGCATGTACAAAATAAAATAATTGGCATACTATTTAATTCTGACATGTAAATAACAACTTTATTTAAGCTGTTAGAAAGAACCGATTGCTTATTATCGTTATTTGAGAGTTTTATGAAAGAAACTGAACTCTAATATTGTCTGTCTATTGTTTGAAATGAAAACCTTTGGCAAGTACTTTATCGGGTCAGACCCATAGCTGATGTTTCTAGCTTGTTTTTTTATTTCTGTAATTGCATCACTTTCCACTTTTCTGAGTAATACTAAAAATTTTCAAATTATTGATCAAAATGAATGTTCGTAATGTCTAGTGTCCCCCTTCAAAAGGTCCATATTAAGTCTGATCTTATTTTCTTTTTTTCTTTGTGTATAACATTTTATCATTATCTCTATCATCATCGATAATGTACTTACTCTTCGTGAACGATCTCTTTATTAGGATCGATTTCAAAAAGTTAGCAATGATGACCTAAAATATGATTCACAACATAAACTTCTTTTACTTTTCAAGTTATCTAATATAGAAATACTATATACAGAAGATTGTTTTTATTTGTAAATCAATGTTAGAGATTATGAACAAGACATTTGACAGCGAAATTCTCTTTTTACTGGTTTAATACAACTCCTATTTAAACGCTAAGTAGTTTTTATTAAGTAAAAAGTTATTTTTTTCTAAGTAATTTATTAAAAATAATTATATTTTTTACAGAAATGTGATTTAGTGGCTCACTCTCATGCTCTCCACGTACCTCTCCCCACAACCGCCCATGTGCACACAAAAATATAGTTTACTAAAATAGGAATTAACAAAAATTAACTTAGCATTTAATAAAAACTACTTAGCAAAAAAAAATAGTTGCTATTTAATACTGGTGTACAACCTAAATGGGTTATGTTCCCCAAGTATATGATATACGATTAGAAGATAATCATACGAATATTGACACCATTCTATTTATAATGTATAAAAAATTTGATTCGTATTTTTGTAACCCGAATATTTAAACAATAGAATACTTTACCATCGTTCCGTTACATTCAAAAAATTAGACTCAAATAGTGTCCTGGTGACAAGGAAATCTTTGTTGCTTTACTCTTATAATGTCCAGTATTTATACTTCACTTTAAACTTAATCGCGCTTAATAATTTTTTACACCGTAGTTTTCCAGCTATAATGTCAACGACAGTTTCCTAGTCAAACATGTGAAAAATGAATATCATTTATTCTCAATCCAAATTCCCGTTCTGTCAACACTCTTTTATAAAAATAAAAATATGCTATAAATGTAATTTTATTTGCAGATCTAACAAATAAACAATAAATAATGAAATAGATTTATATACAATTTTATAAATATAGCAAACAGTTTAGATAAATGAGATTAAATTTGAAATAAAACAATAATAATTTATCTCAAAATATTGAATTGCTGTGCATCAAATAATTAATTAAAAAAAGGTGATGATCAACGATTCGTGCTCTCATTCATACAAACTTGTTCGCATTCACTTTCATTTTCAAAATTATTTTCATTACCTGAAATAAAAAAACCAAAAGATTCTATAATTCCATCCGTTAAAAGCAGCTTTCAGATAAATGCGAAAAAAGTCTGCTGTTTATTTGAAGAACTTCAAGAAAAAAACAAGATTGATTGGATATTTAAATCTTTCCAAAGAAGAACTCACTAATGCCAGGGAAAGGTCATTTTTTACGGTTTTTGTACTAGATGAAAGAAAATCTGAGATAATTAAGTACTTTCTGGACGATTTGCTTTGGGTCTCATTGTTTTAAATGGAATTTAAGTAAGATATAATTTTCCGAATAGATTTTTGTTTACTTACCTCCACATCCTCCCCACGTGAAGTGTTCACAACTGTTTGTTTCTTCATTATAGTAAAATCGTGGAAATGCTCCCCTACATATACCGGTTTCTGACTCTAAACTACATAGATCTGGACGTGCGGCAAACATTGACACAATAAATAGTGCTATCAATAATAAAAGTAACACACCGGCTTGTGAATTTACCATTTTGGAAATATTTTTAAGCAATTTTGAGATGTCGTAACTCACAGTTTTAGAAATTATAAAAAATAATTTCTATAGTTTTTGTCCTATAATATTAAAATATTATTTTATATACACCTATTTAAATGTCTCTCGTTCGTTCTTTTTCTAATGATACAGTCCATTTTCTTGTTAATGTTCTTGAATGTTTCTTGTCTCTCATAATTTCAGATAAAAATCTTTAAATTTGTCCTGATAGATTCGACTGCATTCTTATTTTGATTTTTACTGAAAAATTAATGAAATATTTTTATTAAAAGATTTTTATCGAAAATGGCAGAATGTGTTGACGATAATATCGTCAATTCATTTTGTTGATTATCCTAGTATATATACTATACAATATTAGACGTAAGTGTTCAAGAAAAGTCGTTTAAATCTCATATACATATATGAAAAGAAAAGAAAACTAAAATTCGTTTTATGAATTATCATATAAAATTTTTGTACAGAAATGTTTTCATATAAATTCAGACAAGAACCAGCCTAACGTTTCTGGATGACTTTAAAAGAAACAAGAATCTTATAAGAAAGTGGACCAGTGAATCTTTGAAATGAGAGAGAGAGAGAAGATAAATGACAACTCACGCTTTAAAATATATTCTGTATATTTTTTTGTTTGGCTGTTCTTCAATAAAGGTAAATATTTCCTTACTTTCTTGCAAAAATAAGTTACGCATAACCAAATAAGAACATTATTCTTCTAATACTAGCCACACGACTAAGATGTTGTTATTTTAAGATTAAGTCAATAGATATATATAATTAGATAGATTTAAACATTTTTGAAGATGAATCTCTACTAACGTGGGTTATTGATTGAAAAAATTATAAAATATTTACTAATAATATTAACTGAATAATGAGTAATAATAGGTATTCATTTGTTCTATGTGAACTAATCTTTGATAGATGTACTAATTTTAAAAAATATATTAAAAGAAAAGAACAGTACTCGTTCAACAAAAAGATCACTTTCAATATCATCGTTTTTCACACAATAAAACGGTCATTTAGGATCACGAATGATTTTATACGCATTTTATACGCATATGTTAAAATGTACTTGTCCACATTAACAAACAAAACAGTGTTTTTCTGTTATAAAATGTATCAACTCTTCTTCAATTTACAGACAATATTTCCTTTGTCGTTTTTTCCCAGAAACTTTTGCAATAATACGATAGTTGATTTGTTTTCTTTTTAATAAACAAAATACTATGATTTATTTCTTGTTATACAATGATTCTACATGATTACAAGAAAAACTATTAGGTTAATAGAAAAAATGGAATTCAATTTTTTCATTCGTCCACACATTGTGCGTACACAACAAAGTACAAGAATACTCATACATACACAAAAAGTACAAAAATAAAAACAGAGGGAGACATAACAAGCAGACTAATAATTATTAGAGTTTGACACAAACGATTCACTCAAACAAATATTTTCAAAACTCTGTATCTAATGATAGTTTATGATCAACTTCTTGAGCCATGACACCAGCACGTTGATAATCACCAACACGTTTTTCAAAAAAATTCGTTTTACCAGGCATGGAGATATTATTCATAAATTCAAACGGACATTCTTCATTCCAAATCTAGAAACATAATTTTACGATAATAAAAAAACGATATAACACACAATAAATAATATCAGTGACTAACTCAGAGCGCCACAGTTCATTCTGACTCAGAAGAAGTATTTTAAGAGCATGCCATTACTTCTGGCTTTTCATAGTATAAAGGTTAATCATACATACTTTTGAACAACCTAATTCTGTTAAAAGTCGATCAGCAACAAATTTAATATACTGTGCCATCGCTTTACTGTTCATTCCAACTAATGAACAGGGTAAAGCATCCGTTAAAAATTCAATTTCAATTTCTACTGCTTCACGAATTATTTGTTCAACACGGGCATTACTAGGTTTGTGAACCATATGATAAAATAATAAGCAGGCAAAATCGGTATGCAAGCCCTATAAAAAAACAGAATATAGGCAATAGAATAAGTATGAGATACGAAGGCAACATACTTCATCACGACTAATTAATTCATTACTAAATGTAAGACCGGGCATTACTCCACGTTCTCTCAGCCAAAATATCGATGCAAATGATCCAGAGAAAAAGATACCTTCAACAGCGGCAAATGCGACTAAACGTTCAGCAAATGGTGATTTTGTATTTATCCAACGTATTGCCCAATCGGCTTTCTTTTTAACGTATGGTAATGTTGATATGGCATTAAATAAAACATCTCTATAAAACACAAATATAGAATTACGATAGACACATAAATTTATCGTTTATATTACCTTTCACGAGTATCTTTGATATATGTATCAATCAATAGACTATACATTTCGGAATGAATATTTTCAATTGCTATTTGAAAACCATAGAAACATCTAGCTTCTGGTATTTGAACTTCCGAGGAAAATTTTTCAACCTATTGAAAAGATACAATACAAGAGATAAACTTGTAGAAGTGAGATTATTGTCTTGTGACCACATGAATGATACATACAAGATTCTCTCCAACAATTCCATCACTAGCTGCGAAGAAAGCGAGCACATGCTTAATAAAATATTGTTCATCAGGTGTTAAACGAAGCCAATCTTTCATATCATTAGACAAATCCACTTCCTCAACAGTCCATATTGATGCTAAGGCCTTTTTATAAAATGTCCAAATATCGTGGTATCTAATTGGAAATAAAACATATCTCGATGGATTTTCTCGTAATAACGGCTCATCATCATTCACAATCGAAGGTCCATCCTAAAAAAATATATTTGCAAGATATACATCTACGACGAAGTAAACCACTTACCGGTGATTCTCCCTCTACATCGTGATTACTGTGACCATTCTTCGAAATCGTACCGTTTGTTGCTATGATATCACGCATGATCTTTGAAAAAACGAAGTAATCTGAAACAGCTATGAAGATAGTGATACTATTTTGACAAAAAAAGGTAAATAAAGGTCACCTACTTTTCTCTCCTTGATCCTGCTACTTTTTTTAAATGGTGGATTAAATTTCAGGTTTAAAAAGCATTTTTATTTTATAAATCATTTAACTCTGTAGTTATTGTGAATCCTTTTCAGAGAATCATTTGGCTAAGAAGAACACCTGAAATCATCTACTGTCTCCATAATCAAAATAATTCAATTTGTCTGCTTTTTTTCTCACTTACTTAGAACAAAATATTGAGTGAATATGTTTTCAATGTTTTCAGTTAGTTAAAATGAGAACTATTGCTATCAGCTGACGTATATATAGATAGTCTACATGTCTTTTCTAGAACGTAACCGTCAAATGAATTCAAATAGACCAATTGTGAGACGATTCTTTATTTAGCGTGAATAAAAGAAAAAGAAAATCACTTAAAATGAACGTACGTTGCTGCGTATATTATATAATAGCTATTTTATAGTACGCGACATACGTGACTAATTAAAAGAAATTGGTTAATTTTCAAGAAAACAGATCGAACAAAAAACTATACATGACAATGTACACGATACATCATCGTCTTCTAATCATCTGTTTTTCCCGACAGAAATGACTTTGAATAATTTTTTTTGTTTTCGACGTGAAAGATATAACGGTGGTCCAGAAATAATGATGCACTGTTGTTCTCTTTACTTTCAAGCGCAAAGGAGGTTCGAAGATCCCAATCTAAACTCATTCGATAGAGACTTTTCTACTCTACAAAATCCATCATCTTCTTTCATTACATATTATTTCATTATTTTAAAAAATAGTGCAGAGTACTGATAGGTAAAAAGTATAACTGCGATTTCCTATTAAAATTTTGGTGGCTTTTCGTTTTTGTGTAACTTTTTGAGAAATAATGTGGTAATTGAGAGGTGATATAAAAATGTTCAGCGAATTGAGCGCTATCATCCAGACTATGCTAATCTACTGCGCGAAAGCCTTGGCACAAAATGTTCGTTCATTTTCAGAACACTTATCAGCAACTGTTGAGAGCAGGGATCCTAGATCTTCTGATTATGGCAGAAAACTTCTGATTTTCGGAACTTTTTCTGCCTCATTTCTGCTCTTTTTTACCCTAAGGTCTGCTGATTTTCTACTTCTTTTTCTCAGGTTTTTCTGATTTTGGACTTTTGTTTTCTGATTTTCGTCTTTTGCATCTGGGATCCCTGGTTGAGAGTTCAAAGCCGTCATTAGAACCAGACTTTTATGCTCTTTCAGAATATACGTTCAAATTTTTTTTCTAGTCTAATGGTGATTAACTGTGAGCAAATGTTCGAAAGAGCGAAAAATAAAGTCTGTACACAGAAAAATAGGAGTTTTGGCGTAATCTGTAGCTTGTGTTTCGAGGTAGTTTGAAATCGGTATTATTGTAGAGCATTTAATTCTCTACAGAATGAGGTATTACTGCGACTTACAACTCAAGAGAATCAAAAATTATAAAGTTTTTCTGAGAGCTGCTTTCTACGTAAAACGGCATTCTGTGAAAAAATCGATTTTTCGAAATCTGCCTTTTAGTATCAACAAATTTGAAACATTTTTGCCAGAGAGAAAAAGAAAAGTAGAGAAAGCAGTTTTGTAGAGCAAAATTTACTCTACAAAACTGCCATATTAAAGGATGTTCCATGTTTTGAGTTAGGTAAGTTTTAATGAAAATACCAAAATATTCTGTGCAGACTTCATTTTTGGCTCTAACAAACATTTGTTCACAGTTAATTAATATTAAACTAGAAAAAACATCTGAACATATATTCGGAAAGAGCACAAAAGTCTAATGCTAACTGACGGACTTTGACTCTCAACAGTTGCTAATAAGTGTTCTGAAAATGAACGAACATTTTGTATCAAGACTTTCGCGCAGTAAGCAGGTTACTTATTCGTTTGGTCACCCAAATTGTGAAGCTTTCAGTGCACAAGTTAATCTGTACTTTCGGATTTATGTGGGATTTTAAAAAAAGCAGGAAAAGAACTAGCCAAACAACGCAGTGAAAGTGTGTGTTATAGGGTTTTGTAGAGCAGAAAGTTTCCCATCTTCTGAAGCCAGAACGAAGCCTTGGAACCATACGGGATATAGATAGAAATAGATACACGAATAACCCCATAATTTCAGGATCATTCGTTCTTAGTGGCAAAATGTTAGGGAATATTTTATTTCTCAATGATGATTAATTAAATGAAGATCAACTCTTTACACAAAGTACCTGTGATGAATAGCTAACAGAAGTATTATTAAATAATCAATTAGGTCAAGTACAAAAATAATTATAACCTGTTCTTTCCGTCGCAGCTATACTTTTACCTGTCAGTACTCTGCACTATTTTTTAAAATAATGAAGTAATATGTAGTGAAAGAAAGTAATGGATTTTGTAGAGCAGAAAATTCTCTATCGAATGAGTTTAGAATGGAATCTTCGAACCTCGGTTATGCTCGGAAGAAAAGAGAACAACAGTGTGTCATTATTTTTGGCCCACCCGTTAGATATAGCTTTTGTGAAGATGAAAATATTAAGTAGTATCTACCCTGAGACCATAGAACGAGACCAATATGCAAATTTCTCGTCGAGCGAGCGAAGTCTTATGATGATTCTGTTTACGTCAATAATGAAATCACTTATATTCTATCTACACGGTACTTAGAGCACTTTTAGACATCCAGCTAAGGAATAAATGTTGAATATTCATAAAGAATAACAAAGAGATATTACTTATACAATACGACTTTAATATAGGTTATTCAAGGATATATCTTTCATAATACAAAGAGATAGATATTTGAAAACAATCGTTATGGTCGTACCCCTTCTAGAATTTTGAAACCAGCTGATAAACTCTATAGGTTAACCTAATTTACTGTTAGAAACTGTTTCAATAATTTCAAATAACAATGTTATCAAGTGTATCTTCTCATAAGAGATACAAATCCATCATATATGGCTTTCTAAGACCAAACAACATTAAAGGTGACATTCAAAGTGAGTGTGAGTTTTTGGTAACATAGATTAATTAAGAAGTATATCTCTTTTAGTACGTAACCATTATCAAGATAAAACTTAACAAATCAAACTATTGCAATTAGGAAACGATTGTTAAATAACGCAAGTAGTGACACCAAGTAGATCTTTTTTAATTTATTAAGATATCCGTTAACAATAGAATGACAATATCGTACGAGAAACATTTTCCTAGATAACTATCATAACAACAACAACAATAAAGAATGTTTAAGTACAAAGAAGACAGTCGTATATTTTATATATGGTCAAAAACAAAGTAAAAAAACATTCGACAAGTGCTGCTCATTTTTCTTGATGAATATTTTTCTTCATATAAAAAAGAACTTAAACAGAAAAATCAAGTTGATACTGCTTTTGTTGCCATCAGATTTCCTAAATTTTTATTAATGACTGTTAAATTCGACCGCCATAGTTCTAACCTTTCTCTTAGCGATTGCCAATGTTGACGTGTGAATGTTCGTTGTGCCGTGGAATCAACCATTACTTTGCGATTAAGATGATCGATTTTACAACGAATCATTTTTGTTCGCACAGCTACAGTAAAACAAATACACAGCGTTTAAAACACTACTCCACCGTATTTTCATCGGGAGCCTGATTCGAAGCTAGTATTTATTTAGTTAAAAGTTTTCTGATTTTTCATTAATCTTTCTTCTCTTTTTATATGTATCAAAGGTTGGACGGGTGTTGGAAAATGGAAATATAATTGATGGAAGTTCGTTTTTTTACCTTCAATGACAAATGATTCAACTTCGTCTGATTCTATATGCATTTCTTGTTGTATTAAATCAAATGTTAACTCTTTTTGATTTTCAGCTGTTTGTAAAAATGTTAATAAACGCATTTTTTCAACGTTACGTTCGTGATTGAGGCCTGTTTGAAAAAATAAACATAGGAAATTGTACAAGTAAATAACGAAAATTATTCACTAACCGGATGATTCAATAAAATTCTTTTGATTTGAATAAAAGTCTAAATAGTTTTGTAATTTTCCTGAGACAAATATTGTCAATAACTGAAAATAATAAAACCCATTAAATGAAATTAATCAAACTTTCGCTCATTGCGTCTCTACTTACATTATGAATTGTTTCACCTTCGAGATATTTAACCGGTTCAAGTAACAACAAATGATCCATAATAAACACATTGGGATCCCCAATACTGCTGATAATACATCTAATTAGAAACTATGTTTGATACATATCTAATGGAGTGTTAGTGTATCATACTTGATGGCATCAGCACGTGCTTTAGATGCATTTTCTTTTGTGTATGTTCCCAATAGTTCAAGCAATAGTTTAAGTGCATTATCCCTAAAACAATAAGCCAACTAGAATACATATGCGCTATGCGTACATTGCGATGGCGTAAGAGCGCAGCACAATGGTATAAATACGATCGAATAGTCACTATACCAAACACCTTACAGCTCAACGATACTTGTTATAAGGATCAACCAATCACACAAGAACACATGCTCAGTACGTTAAAACCATTGCAAATCTAACTCACTTTTACTCAATTTTACCCTGAAAGGATCAATTTACTAAGTACTCATCTGAACTAAATACGATTTAGACAACTTATTACAACAACTGACTATGAAGAAATTTTTCTAATCGCAAAACGATACGTTCAGAAATAAATTGAAGAAAAATACTGTTAAACTGTCTGATATATCTCCCATCATTCGACCTAGTTTAATATCACCTTTAGATGAAGATAAGAGATTTAAACTTAAATTCCAGCAAAAACACATAATGTCTGTCGACATAATTACAAATCGAGTTTCCATCAATCCTTTATAAGCTGAATAGATTTTAACTTAGAAACATTTTTTTTTTGTTCTAAAGTAGAAATAAAGAATTAGCTCAGTCATTTCTCATTTAACCTTTTTGGCGTCAAACAAATTTCACCTTGGAAACACTCTACAAAAAAAGTTCACTCATGGTTATCGTTCTTGAAAACGCAATCATAGTATTCATCAATAACGATTACTTGCCTAACTGATCCTCACTTCTCTAAACTTTATGCAACATATTATTCATAGTGAAATGTATCGGTGTTACTAACTACTATTATTCGCACGTTCAATGAGTAAGGGCACAAACTCTCTATCTTTCTGCGTAGGAAAATTAACTATTGAATCACAGATAATGGGCTAAAAATCAAAAAAAGAGTCGATAAAAGTACGTCGCAGTTCGACAAGTCAGCACTATTCAAGATTTTGAATGGTGGTCAAACGAGAAAAATACTATCAGAGATTCAAATAACAGGTTTTATAGAGAATTCCATTCTCGATCGATTGAGCCTAAAACCAACTCTTTGGACTACTTGGCTTACCCTCAAAAACAACGAACAAAAGTGATCCGTTTTTTCTGGGTCACCGATTATGATAATAAACTTGGTTATAGTATCGTAGTAAAATTCCGAAGAAATGGAAGAAGAAATTGAGAAGCCTTGAATCTACGAAAAATATAACTTACGTATCTTTCGCTGCTGCATATGCTTCATACATAAAACGATAAAGATCTTGAACTTGTTCTGTTGATACTTTCCATTCTTTAATCCATTCTTTAACCTTAAAATACTCGATCAATTCAATAACTCAATCTGAAGAATTTTTTGGAGAGAAAGAGATTTTTGTTTACCTGATTTAATCCAATGGTTACGGCATTTATACAACGATGATTTCGTGCACATTTAACCAGATTAACAAATATTCGATATTTATCAACATTACTACCTTCGGGTGCAACATAAATCAAGTTTGTTAAACTAAACATACAAGAAATATTTCTAAGTACAAAAAAGAATGTATTAGAAAAAACATACACTCGAACTTTCATTGGTCCATATTTTTCAGGTAAATTAGCATCAACAATGGCATCACAAAAACTCAATATTGGTCGATTTATTTTATCCACTGCTACCAATAATGTTGTACTTGTAATCGAATTAAGAAACATTTCCATTTCTGAAGAATAAAAATGAAAAACATAACTTACACATGATTAACAACTAAAAATATTTTTTTCAACATTAAATACCTCCTTCATGTATCGAATCTTTTAAAACGCCACGTAATTCTCGAATAATTGATTCAACTTTATTCACAAGAACATCGGATGAAAAGTCTGGATCCTGTCCAACACCATGTTCACGCATAAATTTTTCAATATCTTTGAGCTTAAAGAGAGGAAACATAATCAGTCAAATATAACATTGATATGATTATCATTAACCCTTTATTTTACCATTGCTCGATCATAATAGCTAGGGGCTTCTAAATTTGTATGATCATTGTTCTCACCGAGAACACGCAATTGCTCACCACCCACAAAGTTTAGACTCATTTTCCTAGATGGTTCGTGAGACGTAAGCGTTCCATTTCGTTCTCGTAAAATGCTAATAACTCCTGATCCAAGAGAGATGAAAACTTTTCTTTTTACCAAAGTGTAGCCCAGACTCTCTTCTATCTATGGTATGAATTTGAAATATTAGCTCTTAATGGTTACTGAAATACATCTATTTTACCACAGATCATTTATTTTTCAGATCATTTTACCACAGATCACTTTTGAAGTTTGAGCCCCTCTTCCAAAAAAATTCATAACTCAATTTAGAAATATTATCTCCACTGCAAAAATGCAACAGATACTCTAAATGTTTTTAGATTATTCACACAAAGTATGAGGACTAACTATTGTATGATTCGAGAAATCCATTGAAAATGAGCATCCACTATTGAAACATACATAGAAAGGCAATACTCGGAAAAAAATTTTAGTCAAAAAATGCGTTACTCAAATAAAAAAACTTGTAGTTACTCAGCAGACTCGTCCCCTACTATCGAAAACACTGTGAATGACAACGACAAAGCTGAAATCTTACCTGTTCTTCTGATTCAATATCGGAAAAAACGGATGCCACACAAGAACCTAAAGTAGGAAAAATTAGCATTTATCATAAATAATAGGAATGTTACATGAATAAAAACTAACTTGGAATGTCTCCTTTCATTTTTAAATAATCTAGAAAAGAAAAAAAAGAATATCAACACAATAAAAAAACTTTGATATCTTATCGTACTTTAATAAATAAAAGTCAATCAAAAATAATAAATATTTTTATATTTATCTCTTTAAACGTAAAAAAGAAAATCAGTAATTATTAGAATACAATACAATACGAAAAAAAAAATCTAATAGAAATATCGTTAATTCAAAATTAAATTATACACAAATCATCATCTTTTATTTAAAGTATCTGCAGCAAAAAAAAAATGAACGCATTACAAACAATATTACGGTTGGGGGATAGAAACGAGAAGTAGCATGTAAAATAACGAACCATTGACCATGTATAAAGTGGCACATAGATTCATAAAAAAAGAAAAAGAAACTTCGAAAACTGTAGATAATCATAATAATAAAAAAACAGCCTATTGAGCCATCAGTTGTTATTTTTAAGGTGTAAAAATGTCTCCAGATTTTAAAAAATGTCATGAATGAAGTATTTCTAACAAATTTTAACACACGCACAACTATACCATTGCTATCAAATATTTAAGAAGACAAAGATCAAAAATATTCTTCTAAAAGTTATCAAAGCTATAGTATAGATTAAAAAAGACACGCTATGTAAGGCAAAAGATTTGTTAGTTAGTCTTCTGGCCAGTAAATAAAACTATTAAATGCGCAGAAGACGGTCATAAAAAGTCAGCACAAAGTGATAAACACAAAGATAAAAAATAAAAATTCACTGTTTTCTTCAATTTTAAAAATAAAGAAGATTATAGAAATACAGGAGTAACAAATAAACTGTTATAGTTTCGTCAAAGTAGAGGATGTTTATTCTTGTTCATATGATCCATTAACAAATGTATTGTGACTGTTTGGCTCATGTTGTTGTTGTACTTGATCCAAAAATTTTTTTGCCATTTCAAATTGTTTAGTTAAATTAAGACCATTGGTCAATGTTAACGCTGCTTGAATTCGTACTTCATCAGAATAACCTACTTCGAGTAGACGGCGACTTACATCATCAATTGTTCGAAAATGATCAGCTGAGTCCAATGTGCTACAAAAAACAAACAAATAAATAAATAAAACAAAAACCGATTGTCAACAATCGAAAATTTCTTCAACTCACATGGAATGAACAGTTGATCGACCAAGATTTTGACGCGAAGAATTTGGTGAGTGATTTGTGCCATTTTGAAAAGTCGATGCCGATGTGGCTAAAGTGGCTTGAATAAAGAAAAATTAGTAGAGAAAAAACATGTTTCTTTTTTTCTTACCGAATGAATCGTTTAGGCTTTCGTTTGACGATGTAAATGGCGATAATCTTTCGGTCGGTTGAGTTTGAGAATGTCGTGGAGTTACATCGTTTATGTCATTAAAAGTTGAATGAAGGGGTGGCAGGCCGTGATTTCGACGTGAAGGATGATACGATCGATGATGATGATCGTTTTCTTTTTTTTCAAGCTTTTGAAGAGGACGGGGAGGAATAGGTGGTGGTGTAGGTGAAATATTATCCAATGGATCAGAAGACTGTTTAAAAAGAACAAAAGTAAGATTGATAAAAGAGATAGAGATTCTATGACTGACCTCATTTTGAGCTGGTCTAGCAGCCAATGTAGCCAGATCTTGAACTTGCATATTTGATTCTAATCTATGCTATAAAAAAAAAAGAAACATTAAAATGATATAAGACAGCAAATAGTGCAAAATAATATCCTACATCATCAAAATCATTCATATCATTTGTTGTTTGTTCAGTGGTTTGTTTTAGATTATTTTCAAATGGACTAATAACCACTGGTTCAAATCCTTTTATTTCGGCTCGACAAAATGGACAAGCCAAATTCATTTTTGACATTGAACTCTAAATGATAATAGTCAACAATCTGTGTAGTTTCATATATTTTTAGGTTAAATTTAATGTGACTTTTACCTGCCAAGAATGAAGACATTCTTTACATAAAAGATGACCACACTACAAAAACATAACCATATTTTTTATAGATTTTGTGTTTATATTAGACAACTTACTGGTTGTATTTTACTATCTTTATTATTTGCATTGCATATTTTACATAATTCAAACGACGTTCCCATGTCACAATAAATGGCATATTGTTCTTCTGATACATAGATACGATCAGAATCAGATGGTTGAAGTGCGGATGATAGATCAATTGTTACTGTACGTCCATTTGGATATTTATAACTATGCAAAAAATATATTTTATAGTTTATTTTTACAAGAATATTTGAAATTTACATACTATCCTTCTCTCTCGCCATCAATTAGCGATTGAATTAACGGTTTTGTTTGAGGTATCGTTTGTAAAATTGTACCATTAGCTGTAACATATCCAATAGCCCATTGACCAAGTCTTGTACACGACAAACGAAATACATAGCTGCCGGGTTTATCGATAAAATTTGTTAAAATAGCTTTCACTTCATCATACGTCATGAATGCCATAAATGCTGGATGTGTAACAGCAAGTAATTTCCAATTTGTTAGTAATGATGACCAAGGATGAAATAATCTAAAGAAAAATGAGAATTTATTAAAAATGAATAATAAAATTGAATAAAACAAAATCTAAATTCTAACCTAGTAAAAACATCAAATTCAAATATGGAAACATAATTATTATTTGTTAAATCAATTGTATTTTGTAGAGCCGCTGATTCATTACCAGATTGTATTGGATGAGTTCGATTGAGAATATCCTTAAATTGTTCCCACGGAACAATTGTTCTAGAAAAACAAAATTCATGTAATTAAGATTAGGAAGTAAATATATATCCAGTTATTCATCTTTAACATTGAACTTTAAATATTAATGATGAGATACTTTATTTATATATATATTTAAGTGAAATTTGATTTGATTTTTACCCTGTCAAGAATGATAAATTATTTACGTAGAGGATAAACATTATGAAAAAAAAAAAATTAACTATTAATTTATTTATTCTCATACCTTTCATTGAAATTTTTTTTCCAAAAATCAGCTGCTTCCGGTTTTGTAATTCGAAATTTTTCTCCTTCATACATTCCTTTTGGAAATAGTGATTTTAATTCTACCAATATATGTGAAAAATAGAGTGAAAATTTTGTTAAATGTTTTCGATGACTACTTTGTTCATCATACATCGAGTGTCCAGCACGTTTAAAACAATCAATTGTTTTTGAACATTTATCAATTAAATTTCCCATAAATATTCGAAAATAATCAATATCATTTAGAATATGTAATCGATCATCATAGTTTGTTAATATTTGTCTCAAAGTTTGATACATATCTGGTAATATATCGAGCATGTACGGTGGTGAATTTTTTAAATTCATTTTAGGATATTGACAATATTTAACAATACGATCCATTTGTTTCCATACTTTTTCAATACAACGACGATCAATACGTAAACGAGGATGTTCGATTGATACAGATAATTGAGAATGTGTAGATAACGGAATTGCCGAAGAAATGGACGATGCTGCCGAATATGCAGCACCATTTGTTAAACTTCCATTAGACGTTCCAGCGATGGAATTACTGTTCAGTCCATTTGAATTTGAAGAATTATTATTACTATTAGTAATAGTTGTATTTGAATTTGATTCTAAACGCGGGCCCAAAATACGTCGTTTTAAATTAGATGCAGCTGCTTGAGCCATATTAATTCATGTTTTTTTTATACAATCTAAAATGCAAAGTTTAAATTATGATGTGCAAATAGAATTGCATTCTAGAAAAATAAACTACTTCTCATCTATCGCGTAGTACTAACAATCTCAAGAGAAGTAGAAAATTGAATTTGAGATAATAAAACACACATATATCAGAATAATAGGATCCGAATTGGACAGCTAAGAAGTTGTTACGAAATTTGAGTATGAATTAAATACTATTTAAAAATACTTATAAAATTTATTGTCATATTAGCAGAGGAAAAAAAACTAAGTAAAAAGTAAAGCAAAGCATCAACAGTATTAAATATACATTAAAAAGAAACTTGTACAGTTTAGAAGGAAATCACCGTAAACGTACACACTGCAAATTTAAAAAAATAAACAAAAACACAATAAATCGAAGAAAATATGTTTTAAGCTACAAATTAAAAACCAGATTAACTAAACAACAAAAGTATCTAAACGAATTGTTCAATCAGATCGCTAAATGCAATATCGGTCAATCAGCAGAAAATGGTGTAGTTCAGAATAGATGTTAAGCAAAGTGAAAGTTGGAAGATTTACACATTAGTTGAAGAAATAGTTTTTAAATTAAATTCACGATTTACTTTATTTTATTTTAAAGACAGAGCGGAAAACACTTACTATCTACATCATATGAGATCGTTGTTCGTTGTTTTGCGTACAAAATTCACTGCTCTTTCATAAAAATAAGAAAATTCAAAGTGACTTGTGGAGTTAATGAGATACTCTATATTTTGACTTTAGTTGAATTGCAGAAAGAGATTCGATTCAAAACTTTAGACGTGATACATATCAACAGATTCCGTTGTATGAGATATCTTTTTTAAATCACAGGGAAAAAACCAGAGCACCGGTGGACCTACAAAAAAAAAAAAGAAACAATTTGTAATTTCTAATGTTGTATTGTAGTATAAGTACAAAAAAAATTACCCCTTCCAAATGTTTTTCGAAGCAAAACACATGAAGGTGGTACAGGTTGTATTTTAGAGTTCTCATTCGATTTTAAAGAATCAATTAATGAACGATCATTTAAAATTGCTTGTAATTGATCAATGAGCACACTAACAACAAATATTCCAAATAAAATAGATTCAATCATAACAATAATTGAATGGATACTAGAATAATAGAAGAATGACAAAAATATAGAATGCATATTTTGATTGAGCTTCTCTTACATCTGCACTTCAGTTCGTTGAGCAAAGGCAATTAGCGCCCATAAAGTGATTACTAATGCGTATAAACAAGTCACACCTGCATGAAACAAAACAAAACAATCCATTATTTGTACAAGTGCAACTGCATACAACATACATCGGGATGAAAGGTTTACTAACCAATATAGAATAAAAAGAGTACAAAATATTTCTGATTTTCTTCTCCAACACAGTTGTTAATCCTTGAAAAACAGAAGTACAGAGCAGATAAACAGGATGTAAATTATGTATTATGCTTCCACATACCACGGACAATGATGATCAAGCCTAAAATAGGAATATATTCGTCAAATGTTTATTATATCTCAATAAAAAAAAACGATCACTAACTAACCGTCTCACACATCTTTTGCATATTCGACAATGATGACTGCGAGGCGGACGATAAATTTCACATCGATTACATAACGTCCATCCTTCATTCATTGACTAAACATTACTCAATAAATATGACATAACAAAATCGGAATTAAAACAGCTTACTTGTTGAGTATTTTCAGTTTTTGCTGATAAATCAGAAAAATCAACGGTTTTATCCATTAACGGAACCAATCCTTGAAGAAGAAAAAACTCATTTATAAAATAACCGCAAAAATAAAGAAACCAAACAACAAACCGGGATCAAAATACGATGCTCTTGCATGAGATATCAACGACAGTGATACGACTATTGTAAATAGTACTGCATTCAAAGAACCCCAAACACTGAAAAATTATTAGAGAAAATTTACAAAGATCATGTTCTACACATGTGGTGCTAATATTTACTTTTCTGGCAGTAGCGGTATAACCATGATGAACAAAACAGCGTAAGTAGCATGTAAAAGCATGGCATATGTCACGACCAGACAGATTATGCCACAAGTATCATTGCGACATTGCATTTTAGTACTTCTTTTCAGTACATGAGAAGAAAATTTGTTTTCAACCGAAAGCAAACAGACACACAAAACGGGCTTTTCGTAGTCTTTAGACTACCGGATCTTATTGCTCATCAAATCTTGATAACATCATTGTATAATAGAAAAATAACCCTAACCTGAGCTTAAGAAAACATTTAAGTTAGAACCCTTATTATATATGACGATCCTTGAATTTTTTTCTGCAAGCTGGTTTTATTTTCACACTTTTTGATAAGTTATTATAAACGACCAACAGGAAAGGATTATTGTCACTTGGTACATGATCGTCTTACGTTTGGATTGGTATCTTCAACTACTAATTATATAAATAAGGTAAAACAAATGCGCTCCTCCTCATTCTGAGAAATAATCTTGTGATTGTTTCCTTTTATCTTAGCACCAAATAATGTAACAGCTTCAAATATGGTCACACTTGATTATACAAGTGGACGTCTGTCACCATAAACTGGAGCAAGAAATAATGTAGCTGCCTCAACAGCGAATGCATTTTCGAATCAGTTAAAATTTGTGTAAATCACGACTTTGATTCATACACTTATTTTACTTGAAAATAAAATTCTCTGAACTTTTTATTTCATCAAATATACTAAAACAAATCTCTTACTCATTATATTTTTATTTTACTTATTCGTTTCCTCTCGGCTTTTGAAGGAAGTCAAATTCAACGGTAAATATTTCAGGATAGCCTGATGAGAATTTATTCACATAAAAGGAGAGATCATTTGAGTTGAAGATTTAGTTAGTTAAGTGTCAAATCGACACGGTCATCTTAACTTTTTATTTTAACTTGAGATTGTCTTAACTTCATCAAACGTTATCTCAAGTTTAATTGTATACATTTTTAGGTTATTGTGAGTCAATGTTGAAAGATAATGTATTAAAACAAACTGAGCGTTGACTCAGTTGTGTGCTTCATGAAGTTAAGAATATTGATGAAACGCTGCTCAGTTATTGCGTTGATAATAACAATAGTTTAATAATAAAAAAAATATTACAAAAAAAAGATGATTAAGAACTTAAACAGAAATAAAACAGAAAAGATAAATAAATAAACAAATTAAGAGCATATTGGAACATGACAACATTATGAAAAGAAAAAATTGGAAAGCTCTATTTTGAAAAATAATAAAAATGAAGAACAAGTGACCGATTCTTAAGTTGTATTTCACTCACTGGCTTTGGACCAAAATAACAAGAACGTATGTACTGTTTGAGGAAAAAAATTGTTTATTACAGAAAGAATATGAACATATTTCAAAATTTATTAAAATAGTTACATGTTTGCAGTTCATCACTAGTATTATCCAGCATGATTTTGGCGCTCCATTAGCGAATAATGCTGCATAGAACAATGTGTGATGTTATAATGTAGTTTAATTCTAGTGTTCATCTAGAAACGTGATAAAAATAAAAATAATGTGAAATAATCTACGTTTGACCGTTTGAGACAATTCCTATATGACTAAAAAGAGCACTGTCAAACTCTGATTTTACGGCTGTCTGAATATTGTTATGTCATTGCTAACAGAATTCAAAAACCGAGACCTTAATGATTCAAAAATTGCATGCGTTTGTTAAGATAAATTAGGATGTGGATCGAACATCTTGCGTTGATATTTTGTTTTTAAGCTTTCATTCAATTAGTGGTAAATTTAGAAAACTTTTTATAGTCGATGCGTTTTGCTGGAGAAATTTGACAGTTCCGCTTGTAAAACCTTTTTAAGTTTACAATTGAGTTTCAATCAAAAACATGGTGATTTCGTCTCTGGGATATGAATAAGATCATTTTGTTGTTTTCAATGACTTTGAACACTCAGTTGACAAGAAAAGTTCATTAATCTTCATTGTTTTTTATTCGCTTCTAGAAGATGAAAATTCTTTAATGCGTGTCGTATGTTTTCATTTTAGATTATTTTAGCAGCTAATTTTATTGGTGGAATTATTTCTAGATGTGTTTTAGTTTCTACCATTTTTTGGTTCTAATAAGATTTTTTCTGTACTCCAGTGTAACAGCTTTCATCTTCAATGAACAATTGTTGAATATAATCAAAGTTAACTTACAAACATTTCAAATGCGTATAAAATTCGTTAGATTGATTAATGAATCTATATCGTAGAATCGTATGGCTGCAGCAGGAAAAACAAAAGGTTTTGTTAATTTTTTCGTTCTTTAATTTTCCATCGTATTTTTAAAAGTAAGTATATTATGGAAAGTGGAATTCTTTTTATGTTGTACGATTTCTATCAAAGTTTTAATTGTAAAATACGCTTTAATGAGCCATTAGTCATTAGATTAAAGGTGTTTTAAGAAAGAAAGAGCCAGTTTAGTGTAGTTCTCGCTAGTTAACCCTTTACGGCCGGCTGCATAAGCCATTTAGTAACAATATCCCCGTCTGTGTATATTCCTTTTCTGTCGGCTGCCAAAAATTAACTAATAAAAATATTCCTCCCTTTATATTTATTGTTTTGCTGTGACAGGGATCGGCAAAGTGTATTCTTTTAGAATAAAATTTCTTCGACACTTAATAGATCGATGTTACCGGTAGTCAACACCCGGCCGTAAAGGGTTAAAGAATTTATTGTCATAGATATGATCTATTATTTTATTTATATTATTTTCAAGTAATCTCAATCAACATTTGCTTAGCTTATAACAGAAGTGCTTTGGGCTTCCGAATCATGACTGGATACTTGCTACTCACGACTCTAATAGTAAAAACTATATTGCATCTATGTTTACAGCTACGTTCATATTCTACTTTAAATTTTAAAAAATCTCCTATTCTTTGGTTTTTAATACGAATTTTATTTCATCAATAATCGCATGTACTATACGAAGTTCTGAGCAGCGACTGGATTTAAAAAAGTGAACAGCTGATGTTTTTATTACAATAACTAACTTTTTTCCGTTAATAAAGAGCATGTTCTCAAACGATGAGTTTCAAAAACGAATTACATATTGACAAACAAAACGAAAACAAGAATGAAGAAATGGTCAAAATCATGTATTCATGATCTTTCATCTTTTTTCAACAATTCTGACGCTTTTATTTCTAGTTTAATTTCAATATTAATTCTAACACTCTTTATTACTAGGATTCTACTTATTACGCATGAAAAAGTGTGTTCATTTTCTTCCATTGATGAATATGAACAACAAGTATGAGAAAGATGTTTTATTGTAATACGTTTTAGTTTTTTTATCATTCAAAATACTTTTGTTTAATAATAAAGGACTATTCTCGACTTCATTATCTTTTGTGATATTTGAAAATCATTATGAGATAAAACTTTGTTTATGAAATTTTTTTTCAAGATTATTGTATAATGATACCTATCGATGATTTTTCTACTGGTAAGAACATAAAAAATAAATGTTCTAAACTACATGTTTCTCTTATTTATAGGTTCAGTAAATTTGACAAATGATCCATCAACATTTTCATTCAAAGTTAAAGCATTAACAAATGTATTAGCGTTAAATCATGCTGGTGATCGATTAATTGCAGCAGGACAAGCAAGTAAGAAAAATATTTTCTCTCATAATATATTTTATTTAATCATATATTTTATTTAGGTTTTCAATTATTGGCAATCGAGACACATAGTAGCACTGGTTGTGAACGTTTTGTAGAACTTTCTGATCTACGAAATGTTCGTCTACCCGTAGCAGATCGAGACTTTTTAAGGATTAAAATTGCACCGAAAGATGTTACATGGAATTATAATGACGGTGTGTGATTTGGTTAGTGCGTATTGTCTGCTGTTCTTAGTGAAGTATTCATTATATTAATAGGAGAATGAGTCTTGACATTAAATTTTTCTTCTATTTTAATAATAGACGACTTATCTGTTTTTTATTTTAAGCTTTTGTTACAATAACTAACCGCATTTTGATAGATAACTAGTTCTTTGACTACTCTCTAAGTGCAGACTAGTTCTTCATGTTACAATTTCTGTACCTAGGAACATAGTCATTATGAGCAGTACTGATGTGATTTGTTGTATTTATTTTTAAAAAATCTCCTTAAATAACTTACGGGCATTTTTTTAAAGTCATATGTTATAGTAATTATCTTGTAGTATTAGAAAAGTGAATTTAAAAAACGACTATTATGCTTGTCAGAATCTGAAAAATCGTTTCAGTTCGTCTGAGAGAAAGAGATAGGAGTGATACCAAGCTCAATGAGATTTTTTGTCATTTATCTCTAAGTGGTGATCTCTTCATTTCAGAACAGTGTTTTGCATCGGCGAGTGCTGCTAGTGGTCATTTACTTATTTGGGATGCCATAAAACCGTCTATCGTTAGTATATTACAAATTCATGATTCTGCTATAAATCGCATTCAGTTTCATCCGACAGGTATGATCATGTTTCTATCTGGATTTGTTTCTTATGAAAATATGTTTATCTGTAGATCCTAAATTGTTATTGACTGGATCACAAGATGGAAAAGCTAAAGTAAGTAAAAATAATCGAATAAATGAGTTTGATAACAATAACTACGTCTTTTTTCACATAGTTAATCGATATTCGGCAGAGCAAAGTGTCACATGTGTTTAAACACATCAGTGCAGATGGTTTTCGTGATGTGGCATTCAATATATCAAACCCAAATTTGTTCGCATCAGCATTGGATAGTCATGGTGCCGTGCCAGTAAGTGTATCACATTTCTCTTTTTATGAATTATCATTCTCTTTGATTAGATATGGGATCTTCGAAAACAGACGGCACCGGTCCTAAATATTCCAACAACTGATCGAACATTGTGCTTAGCATGGAACCCGTGTGAGAGAGATTGGTTAGTGACTGGTGGGCGAGATAAGACGATTCGAGTAATTATATAGACAAGAGAAAAGAAAAAGAATTATATGTAAATTGAGTCGTTTATTTAGGTTTGGGATACAAATGATTCGAATCCACGTCAAGATCCACTATACATTGTTCATACATCTGGCACAGTTGCACGTTTAAATTGGCGTCCAGATTATCGTTTTCATATAGCTAGTTCAACATTACAAGTTGATTCACGAATTCATTTATGGGATATTCGTCGTCCGTATATGCCACATGCATCATTTTGTCATCACCAAAGTAAGTGACGTCATGTTTGATATATAAATTCTTATATCGTTGTATCAAATAGATAATATTGGTGATTTTGTTTGGCGAAATAATCCACATGTTATCATATCTGTTAGTCGTGATGAAACATTATACCATACAAGTCTAGCGACCGCTGTTAAACCAGAAAATCTCGCTTCACTATTTTCAATCAATGTAACATCGAAAGGCTCATTGACCGTTGTTACACCTCATGTCGATAATGATTTTGTTCGAGCATTACTACATGATAAGAATCTTACCTATCCTCCTCCACCACCGTCAATTAGTGCGTTGTATTCAACGGCAAATTTGGAGAAATTTTCATCATGGACTCCATCGATCAAAGGTAACGTTTATTTTCAACATGTTCTGTTTCGAAGGGATAGGAGAGAATCTGAGAATACCTTTTGATTGTTAGATATTAGTTATCAAGTTTATTATTATTGATTCTTTGTTTAAGGTAAATAATTTAATAATAGAAAGTAAGAGTAAGATCACGCTTTTCATGTTGGAAAGACTATTTCAAAATGAAAATGAAAACTAACTGGGATACAGGAATACTCGCCATAAAGTCTCATGAAATTAAAGAGAGAAATAAAAGAGAGTCTGCTCATGGACCTATCAACTCACTTTTCTTGAAAACTGTAGTAAATAAGATGAAGGTACTGGCATAAGACGGGCGCAGTTGTTCTTGCTAGGAAGTTTCCTCTTAATGTTTCTGTGATTTGCTGTTTTTGTCTGAAAGAAAATACGAACAGTGTCAAATGTACGACTTTTGGTTATCAATCAGCAGAATATGAATCTTGAGGGTTTCTTTTTTTGGCGGGATAATACATGAGTTTTCAGTAAAAATCTGCATTTCGTTGTAAGTGCTATAGGTTTAGCTATTTTGATAATATACTTATCTGATCAATTGCTCTTATTTTTACCTTCATCTCTCATTTCCTGTCTGAGGTACAAATTTTTTGTGTAAAATATCTGGCTCATTAGCACTCATTAACGGCGAAAAGATTGAAGCAATTAAGTCAATTTATTTATTTATGCTTCTTTATATTCTATGCTACGTTGTAGATATTTCAGTACAGTAAGCATCACATGACTGTACTGGTGACTACTCTCTTGCTTCTCTACAATATTTGCGTTAGCATACTTGCGTTCTAATTGTTGCTCTTTTTTTTTCAACATTATACAGGTAAAAGCCTCATTGTGCAATTGTCACATGTGAAAGATGATACAATTGATATATTTCACAAATTTGCAACCGAATGGAAATTTTCTGATTATCCTGTTGGTCAATTGTGTGATATGAATGCCCTAGTCTCACATGAATTAAATCGACCCGATTTGCAGTTAACATGGGAATTAATAAAAGAATTATACCCTGATTTGCCAATGGATAATAATTATCGTTTGAGACCAACACGAATGATTCATTCTGGTGAAGGTGGAAGAGTACCAACAGGTGGAGCTGGTACTCGAGGTCATCATTCATCTGATAGACAATATAACCCGTCACGATTTAATAATAATGATAAACAAAAATCAGGAATAAATAATCATGAAAATGGAAATGGAAAACCAACTGACTTAGCTTTAACACAAATAGGTAGCGATAGAACAAACTGTCAAAGAAATACTCATGTTAACTTCATCTTTTTTGTAAAGAGCCTTTGGATGATATCGATAATTATATCGTTCGAGAAGTTTTAACGGATGATATTTTATTTATCACACAAGAAGATGGGAATAGTATAAACAACGACAATGACGAATATGATGGTTATGATGTACGTATTCCAATTTCATTTTTCAGTTGAATTAGTGGTTTTAAGAAGATAGTTTTCTTTTCATTTATATAGATGATCGATCTCATACGTGATCCATTTGGTGTATTAACAAATGATAAAATCGATCGAGATCATTTGACTAGTCCTTACACGCCTAACGGTACTGGAAGACAAGCAATAATGAGTTTCTTTCCACCTGATGGAGATGTTATAGATGAATTTGATCGTAGGGATGACTTTGATGAGTACGTATTCTCTATGTGTTTATTGAAACTTATCAAGATCTACCTTTGTATTTAGACTTGATGGCAATATAAGAGCACCATCATCTTACAATGACGAATCAGAACGATTTTTCACTATTGATGAAAGTTATACGAATACATATCGGAATCAATTATGTTTCGACGATGTCGTGCGAAATATGTTATGTTATTATGTTGAAAATGTAAGTCAATATAAATGACTTTATATCAGAGACGCGACAAGTAGTACTCGTATTCAAGAACAAAATTTATGATACTTGGTTTTTTTTAAGCAGAGATGTTATAAAAGTCGATGTGCTCAAAAGCATTATAATACTAGTCTGCGCAGAGTGAATATCATCTGAAAAGGAAAAGATTGGCTTTTTTATATGCATACTCATACTTGTATGGATATACAGACAAGGAGAATAAATAGAGTTGATCAAATAAGATACTCTTTTATTTTCCGTGTTTTCTTCTTCAAAGAACAGCCATTTGATCATAGAAACCTTTTACTCGTACTTAAAGTTGTACATGAGTATATTCAAGTTCAGTTTTTGAATACTCGTATTCGTACTTGGAAAAATCTGTATTCGCCTATTTCTACTTTAGATATTTTCATTATTGTGTTTAGAATGAACTTCAAATGGCTGTTCATGTATTTCTAACGTTATATCAGAAAATTGAGGAAAATAGTCGATTGGAAGATTTTAATGGAGCACATTACGAATGGATCAAATTGTACATCGATTTATTACACCAAATGCGTTTATATGTGAAAGCCATGCAAGTAACAAAACATTGTGTTCAAAATGAAATTATTCCTCTGTAAGTGATCGCATATCTCGATGAACGACAGAATGTAATGAAGAAAATGTCCTTGTTCTTTTAGTTGTTATGATCAATCCGAATACGATTTTGGAATAATTGGTGCAAGAGCCAGTGAAAGTAACAATCCTAACAACAGTGATTCAAATAGAGCGGCAGCAACCAATTTCAAAGCTTCAACAGTTGTACCAGAAGCAACATCTACATTAATGCCATCAGATACTCCCAGTGTAGTTACACAAAATGTCATGTCACTAATTGGTGCATCAGTACAACGTCTTAGCTTCGTTGAAAAACCAGTTATTTGTAGTATTTGGTAAATAGTTTTTCTTTTATCTAAGAATATTTGTTACAGTTGAGAAATCGATAGGATCTTAGCTAAACGGTTTGTCCACGTAACGCGACGCTTCGCTGATGAAGTTTTTTTTCGAACTGTATTTGCAACTGGAATCTTTTCAGGAAACCAAGGGGGGAAAAGCATACTTCTGTACTTCGCTCAAGAAAGAAGTACGAGAAGTACAGAGAAGTACAGGGAAATACAGAGAAGTACGGAAGTATGCTTTTTCCCCCTTGCAGGAAACCTAGAACTACACAGACTATAAGTATGAAGTTTTTTGAACAACGTTTAGTGCTAAGGAGAACGTTGGGTGCGACAAAAAAAAGTATGCCACAGCGTTACTTTGCAATATTGACTTTTCTTGGGGTGCGAAAAGGTTTTTTTTACCAAAAGAAACTACGTTAACTCATCTACAAACCTGACTCTAGAAACCTTTCAAATGCACAGTTCAATTCGCAGGAAATTAGAGCTGTATCAGAAGTTTTCAAAAACTAGGGAGCTTTTCTGTCACAGCGTTATTCGCCGAAAAATCTTTCTGAAAGCTCGAGTCCTGAACTGAAAATCTTCACTTTTATATCGTAAGCAGAGTTTGGTGAGCTACGTCGAATGGCGCCAGAACGAACTTTCGAGCTTCTACAGTTTTCGAGAAAAATGCAAATTACTGTCAAAAATATCACAGCGTTATCTTTGAACAAGCCCGTAAACCAAGTTACCGATATTATAACCGCTATTCTTATTTCATTCTAGTCGATTACCATGTCGCGAAATACATTCATTTTGTGGTGTTTGTTTCCACAGTGGCCATATTCATCATTTGCGTAGTTGGTTTGAAAATCATGACGAATGTCCAAATGGATGTGGTCATCGCTGTTTAATTAAAGATAATCAAACATCAAATCGAACTGCTTTGTCATTCAGTGTGAATAGTACAAGAATATCAACTTAGTATTCTATTCTTTTCAACAATGCTCCCTTTCCTGTCTTTGTATTTTAAAAGCTATTCCGTTCAAACTAGTCGAGTTTTGTTCTTTTTCATTGCTTAAAGCTTTCAAGGCTTTTACGATTATCGTTTACAGTTCCATGTTATATTTTGCATCGAATTTGATGTTAACTATTAGTCTGCGATAGTCACTGGTTTTTCTTGCATCATTTTTTACAGAAAAAATTTCGTTATTTGTGTTTATTTTATATGTATTGTATTTTTCTATTTTACTTTGTTAAATACATTTTTGATATCAAAAATTTGACGGTATTTGTAAAATACGCTAACATCCAAAAAGATGCTGGTACCTCTTTAACTTAATGATTTAGAAAATATTAACAGACTTCAATATTGAAAGTCGTATAGTGTGTAGATATTATGTCTTTATTTGGGTGTAGTGAGTACTTTTTGTCTGCTACATATCTGAGTATTATTCAATGAACTCTATCTATGCGCTGTATCAGATTTAAACTGGGAACTATTAGTGAGTAATAGCGTGATTTACAAATATTTAAAAATTTGATGAAATATAGTTTGTGTGTCTATGTGATTGTAAGACAAATCTAAGCTACAATAACTTTACTCCTCTACAAACCTGGCTCTAGAAACTTTTCAGATGCACAGTTCAATTCGCAGAAAATCAGAGCTGTATCAGTTCTCAAAAATTAGGGAGCTTTTCTGTCACAGCGCTACTCGCCGAAATTTTATAACTGTATATTACTTTTTAGATGAGAGAAAATTATGGCAATGGAAGATTATAAATATTTGTTTAAAGTTGTTTTGATTGGAAATGCTGGTGTGGGAAAAACGTGTTTAGTCCGTCGTTTTTGTCAAGTATAATAATACTATTTGTATTAAAATCAGAACTTACATAGCCAGTTATTCTCTTCACTCTTAATTCAAATGAATTATCTTACTATAGCTATTTTTCCTACTGATGAAATTAATGTTTTTCAAGGATGTGTTTCCTCTTGGACAAGCAGCTACGATTGGCGTTGATTTTATGATCAAAACAGTTGAAGTTTGTGGAGAAAAAGTGAAGGTAAATTATTAATCAAGTTGTGCGTATTTTTCAAATGTTAATCATTGTTCCTTTTCTTAATAGTTGCAAATTTGGGATACAGCGGGGTAATTATTTATTCATAATTATTTTTTATGCGAGTACTATTTATATCATATTTACCTATTTAGCCAAGAGAGGTTTCGATCTATCACGCAAAGTTATTATCGATCAGCAAATGCCTTAATTATTGTGTTTGATATCAGGTATCCCATCAATATTTATCGCTTTTTAATATATAATGTATTTTTTTTTTGTTTAGTAATCAACCATCGTTTGATTGTTTACCAGACTGGATTCGCGAAGTAAAAGCATACGCTAATAATAGTGTGCTGTGTGTTCTTGTCGGTAAGCAATTGAAATCATAGATATTTTCTCCTATGAATCATAAAAGTATTGTTCTTTAGGAAACAAGTGTGATATTAGTCAACGTGAAATTCCAGCAGAAATTGGTGAACAGTTTTCAGAAAGAAACGACATGTGGTATTTAGAAACATCAGCTAAAGATAGTGATAATGTAAATAAATTATTTTATGGTATTGCTGAAGAATTGACACAAAAAGCACGTGAAAGCGCACTGGGTGTACATAATAATTCAAATGACACATTTCCAAAAGGACAAACGAAAACAGTAAAGTCCAGTTGTTGTTAAAATAAACCTGTTTTGTTTTTATTCAAAGCACACAACATTGTTGTGAATAGTTCATACATTTTTGTGTGATAGTGAACAGGATCATGAGACATATCAGTGATGATAGTCAAAGCAATTAATATTAAAAAATAGCGGTTGTTTAGTGTAATCTATTTCTTAACTTTTATCCGTTTTTTTCTGCTTTATGAATCTCAATTATTTGGCTTTTTCTTCTCTGCTAAATAGGCATATTTTTGTACAATTTTTTTTCTTCTCGTCATCAGTGCATTTAGAGTTCTGATATTGTTTGTCTTACATACAATGATCTCATTCTTATCAGCCTTAATATCAATACAAAGTTTTTGTATATTTTACAACTCTAAAAAATTTATGTCTCTTTTGTCTTTTTTGTTTCGTATGTTGGTTTTGTAATTTTTTCGAGTGACTAGGACAATTATTTCGTATGATTTACGGCTTTTTTCACTCTTGAGGGATGCTTGCACTGTTCAATACAATGTTAAAATAAAACATTTAGTTGGGATTTAAAAACAGTATTGAAATGTCAGACAATATCTAGAAGTACAAAACTCTACAAAAAAGTCTTTTTGCTCAAAACAAATATTCGATAAGCGGAAGTATATGCAGTCAAACTGTTCGCAGATTGCACTTTTTCCGTACGGATAGTCATTTCCAATAGCGTACTCAGGATTTCGGTAAGGGATAGGTCTAGTACCTTTTCGCTCCAACTGTTTTCTAAACTGAGCTGAAAGTTTTAGTTATTTTTTTTCTAAATATCACATAAAAACCACTAGATTAGCGATTGTATACATACAAAAATCGTTGCCCTTAAACTCAACTAATTTATTTTCAGCACGAATTGGAAAATCGAAGTTTCTAAGAACCTAGTTGTGGGTACGCCATTGGTCATTTCTTGAATATAACAGAATCGTAAAAGCTACCAGTTCAGTGATACTATGGTGTCTCTTAATCCTAACCAGGAGACAGTCCCATCTCACCTGTAGGAATGAGTGTTTTCATAGATTCTTTACTAGGAAGTATGATCAATGCTTAAAAAGCATTGCAACAAATCAACTAACGAAAAGGACAATACGTACACTGTATACGTAAGTTGTATACTGTAAGTTGAAAAAAAACATATAAGAAAAAAAGAACTGTCCATGCAACCGTTTTATTTCATCATAATCTATGGACCTACGTCAATTGAATAAAATATTAGCGCATTTATGCACTTTCTAAAACACTTAACCAATCAAAGTGTTTAGTAAAGTGCTGTCAGATAGATGGCAGGACATGTTCCAATATTTATAAATGTGTATAAGGAACTGAGTTTCATTTAAAATCTTTATTATTATTCAGACCTCATAATAAAATTTTACAAAGCAAATGTTTGAAAATGAAAAGTACAGACAATGTAATTCTATAAATAAAAGACTATAAAGAACAGGTTTCTCGTTCGATATTCTCATCCAGTTTACTCTTGAAACCAAAATAAAGAAAATTGTTTGTGTTTTAAAAAAAAAATGTCGAAAAAACCCCTGGCTAGTTTTATACTTTATATAGTTTAGGCAAGTCATTTTTCTCTTTTCATTTTGTTTCTCTAAAACTTATTGATACTCTTAGGGTCGACCTATTTTTTTTTCTCTAAAACGTAGAACGACCATATGTTCTGTAGAAAAAAAAGAACATCTAAGAAAGAAAGAAGTTTTTGAGGTTTTTCTTTGAAAAAAGTGCTTTTTTTAAGTTTCGAAGTTGATATACATTATTGATTAGTAGCTTGGTTTTGATAAATGCCTTTTATTTCCGTTTTTAGATTCAACGATGTTAATGAATCATAATAACAGTGATGTGTTTTAATGAATTATGGCTAATTTTATAGACGGTCTTCAACCTCCAGCAAAGAAATTCCGATCAGGCCCATTAGGAAGCGGGCCCGGGAGTGAACCTGGTTTGTAATCTGTTCTTGTTAATCTAGACTATCAAATCATCTTATGTTTTTATTATATTAAGATTTTGATTTTACCAAGATGATAACACAATATGATGGAAATAACAACGATGGAACACAAGAAATATTTGATATAACAGATTTTCCAGATCCTGTAAACGCCATTGAAAATCAATCTCAACCATTCTCGAATAATAATCAAACACAACCACAACAACAAAACTTAAATCAGCCGTCCACTAATCAACAAAGTTTATTTCCAGGAACAATCAATGGAAATTCTTGCTCGTCATCTCCGACCGTCACAATGATTTCGAATACAAATGCTGGAGGTAATAATCCAAATCAACAACAACAAATGTATTTAACAAATGCACAAACTAGTCGTTCAGTTACTGTTGGATCTAACCAACATATAGCGTATATTAATAGACAACAACAGTCACAAACGGTACAAAATCAGAATATACCGACAAATAATAATCCAAATATGAATTCATTTCAAACACCAAATTTACAACGAGTTCATACAATACCAGGTGTTGGACAAACGATTGTAAGAACTGCGAATGTTATTTCAAACGGAGTGCCGGCCAATTATCAGACAATACAAACCGGTTTACAACATCAGCAAATGACTATGAATAGACAACCAGTATTTCAACGCATGACATGTGCTGTAAACAATCAACAAAATATGCAGTACAGACAAGGAACACCAGGAGCAGTAGCCATGCAACAGCAACAATCAAATATGGTCAATATGAATCAAAGTGTTACGCAAATGAATATTGTGAAGGTATATATTTTTTTGCACCCTGTATTGAATCATAATCCACGGAGAACCAAAACGAGTTGAGTTCATTAATGACAGACCTACATCACGAACAATCGGTATCCTTTACCTGAATCAGACCTTCTCATGAGGAAAATGCACGGAGAGAAAGATTTGGAGCTGGTTTATAATGCAGTACAAACTATTCGCGAGATAATACATACTACAAACATATGAAATTAGTAAGAGAACAGCACTCCTCAGTATCGTTTTTTTGTCATATGTATAGGTGCACATATTATCATGAATTTTTGTTTTCGTTATTTGCAGTCTAATGATGTATTTGTGTCAAATCAATCAGCTGTTGGTCTTGGAATCCAACAAACAGTGAATACCAACACATCATCTGCTATTGCAAAAGTTTTACCACCTATAAATCAGCAACAAGTGAATAATTTTCAAGTTCAACAACAAGGACAAATTCAACAAGCACAACAGTCGAACCCACTCACCTTTAATATGGCAAATATGAACACTATTCGAGTATGTCTACAATGTTCTTACTAACTATCTCGATCGTCTACTGTGTTGTACAAGAAATTGCTTACACTAAGAAAATTCAAGAAGAACCTCAGTTTTTCAACGAAACTTGTTGAACACAGTTTTCTAAGTTTGCTTGCTTTTTTTCTTTCAAGGCACAAATTATTGATTCATCCAGTGCAAATTTATCCTCCGTCACACAACAAAACACTTCTGCAACATCATACGTAACGAATTCCAATACAACATTAACAAATTCAAATGCCACATTGAATACAAACTCTTCAGCGGTTGTCAATGCAACAATTGTAAACGCTAACAATGGAATTCAGGCTTCGATATTAGCAACAAATGGCAATACGAATAATAATAATAACAATAATAATAATAATAATCTAATGAGTGGCACGAATCAATCAATACAAAATCAAAATTTACCATTAACACCACAACAGCAACACACGGAAGTACAAAGAAAACAATTTATTCAAAAACAATTAGTTTTACTTCTTCATGCACATAAATGTCAACAACGTGAAAAACAAAGTTTAAACGGGGAACAACGACCGGGTGGATGTACATTGCCACATTGTACTACAATGAAAAATGTTTTACAACACATGACAAAATGTAATGATCATAAAACGTGTCCAGGTAAGTTCAAAAACCAGATTTTTAGTGAGCAAATTTTCTCTCGTGTGCGAAAATTCTTACCCATATTCTCGAAATCGTTTTGCTATGATTCGGAATCTTGCATCTATGCTCATTTCTAGTTCCGCATTGCGTAACATCTCGTCAAATAATTTTGCATTGGAAACAATGTAATAATCAACAGTGTCCGATTTGTCAGCCGTTGAAAACACCTACCAATCTAGGAAAAATCAATCAACCGCCTTCTGATAGAAGTTCAAGTAAGCCTCGTACGTCTGCTTCTCTAATCAGCGCATCTCAGTATGTTTTTTATTGTATATTTTCAGCTAAAGAATGGCAAAAACGTGTTACTCAGGAAATGAGAAATCATCTTGTTCAAAAAATTATTTCTGCATTGATCCCAACAACCGACTCTAATGCATTGAAAGATAAGCGTATGATTAATCTAGCGAACTATGCTCGACGCGTTGAAAATGATACATTTGAAATAGCGAATAACCAAGAAGAATATTTTCATAAATTAGCAGAAAAAATTTATAAAATTCAAAAAGAACTTGAAGATAGAAGAGAGAAAAAGCGCTTACAAGATTTGCAGACAATGCAAAATACCAATGGATTGATGCAAGGAACACACGTTGATTTGATTCCATCATCTCTTGGTTCTATCGATAAATTAGCAGGTGAACATGGACCGCCCAATCGCATTGCACCACAATCGGAAATTCCACCATTTTCGTCATCCAATATATTAACTCAAGATCATCATGAACAACAGATCAAAACTGAGCCACTGATGACACTCAATAATACGTCTGTTTCATGTAATAATAATTATTCTCAAGATAATTTCAACTCATTACTGAATAATACCGGTCAAGACACGATGGATATTCATAATAATCGTTCAGACACTAATAATAATCATATGTTTTCAACCGATCCATTAGAATCAATACGATTTAAAACCGAAGCAACATCGCCAAAACAGCAACAATTCGTAAATAACACCGGAGAACTGATTACAGTCAAAAAAGAAGAGCATGATGATTGTACAGCACCAAAAATGTCTTCGATGCTACCAACTAGAATGAAATCAGAATTGTCAGATGATTCAAAATCGAAACTACCTCAGATCGATTCAACAAGTAAACAATTACCGAAATGCCCCGTTCAATTTACACAAGACGAATTGCGCTCAAAACTTGAACCTGTTATCCATAAAATGTTACTATCTGAAGATTCACATCCGTTTAGACAACCGGTTGATCCCGTAGCACTCAATATCCTGGTAAATAAAAGAGATAAACAGTAATTCTTCAACTTCATTATGATTTTGATTGTAGGACTATCCGAACATCATTAAACATCCGATGGATATCTCCACCATTAATAACAAATTATTGACTGGCGAATATCAGAACCCGTTGCAGTTTGTTGATGATATGTGGCTCATGTTTAATAATGCATGGTTGTACAATAAAAAGACGACAAAAGTTTATAAGATGGGGTTAAAAGTAAGTAGAACTAGAATTATTGATGGATAATAAACGAAGTAATAATAGGATTTTATATAGGATGTAGCTGCTGTGAAAATCCTATCTTTACTTAAGTAGAACTAACTAAGCACGTGGCTTCTCGTGATTAACCGTACTATGGTATCCATTCTGAAAGCGATCCAATTATAGCCGCTCAGTATAGGGAAGAATGTATTATTCTTTTCTATGTTGGACAGCATGACATGGCTCTTCTAACTTCAGGCATCGAAACTGACACTTATCAGTACACTGCCGATAACAGTAGCTACAAGGCAGTGTATTCTTCTTTTCTTCTTCCTATTCTTTTCTGTGTTTCCGTATATTTCTTAGACTCTGACTGTCAATGTTTTTAGCTCTCTGAGGTGTTCGTGGATGCAGTTGATCCGGTTATGCAGTCGATGGGCTATTGCTGTGGACGACAGTATGTTTTTCTACCACAAGTGATGTTCTGTTATGGGAATCAGTTGTGTTGTCAAATACCACGTGATGGTGCCTATTACTATTACAACAATCCAGAACCATCAAGAACAAATCTGTCTGGTGACAAATATACGTTTTGTAACAAATGTTTCGATGCGGTCAAAGGTGAAATGATCTGTGTGGGTGATGATCCAGCTCAGCACTTGACTGAATTACGAAAATGTGATTTTATACCGGCGAAAAACGATGCACAAGAACCGGAGATCATAGTTGACTGTATTGTTTGTTCAAGAAGATGGCATCAAATTTGTGCATTGCATCTTGATCAAGTGTGGTCCGAAGGTTTTGTATGTGAAACGTGTATTAAAAGTTACAACATTAAGCGAAAAGAAAACCGGTATGTGGCACATAAATTGACTATGACTGATTTGGCTCATAAATTAGAACAACGAGTGAATAGTTTTCTGAAAACGGAATTTGCCGATGGTGGACGAGTGACGATTCGAATTCTGGCTGCTTCGGACAAGGTGTGTGAGGTGAAACCAAGATTGAAGAAGTATTGTCAGAATCATGTGCCAGATGGTTATCCGTATCGAACAAAAGCAATATTTGCATTTCAAGAAATTGAGGGTGTTGATGTTGTTTTGTTTGGTATGCATGTACAAGAATATGATGGAAGATGTCAAGCACCGAATACAAGGTTTGTCAAACGTTTGAGTTGCTCTCAGCTTGCGAGTAAAAGCTGAGCGACTTTACACGCTTATATGTTGGAAGTTTTGTAAAAGCATACATCTTGCTGAATAGCGACCAATATTTTTAGTATAAGAAAAGTTGTTTACAGTATCTTTTTTATGTAAATTTTTACGATTTTAATTTTTCTATTTTAGACGTGTTTATATCTCCTATTTGGATTCTGTTCACTTTTTTCGTCCAAAGCAATATCGTACTGATGTTTACCATGAAATATTGATTGGCTATTTGGAGTATGCTAAACAACTGGGCTATGTTTATGCACATATTTGGGCGTGTCCACCGAGTGAAGGAGATGATTACATATTTCACTGTCATCCTGCAGAACAGAGAGTGCCGAAACCGAAACGGTTACAAGAATGGTATAAAAAGATGTTAGATCGAGCTATTTTAGAGCATGTTGTGATTGATTATAAGGTAAGATACAATATGAGAAAAGATCATGACTATATTTCACACTGTATCAAAAACTCCTGTTTCAGGATATAATGAAAGATTGTACGGATAACCAAGTTCAATCAGTAACTAATATTCCCTATTTCGAAGGCGATTTTTGGTCAAATATTATTGAAGAAAGTATCAAAGGTGAGATATTTGTTAAGTGGATGACATCACGGTTTATTGAGAAGAATAAAGAAAGCAAATTGCATCCGCTTGTACCAAGATTTATTGTCGGGTGCAGACTGCAATTCGCAAACCCTTTACGTTGTTCATTAAGGCGGCTTTTACTGTTTCGTTTTAAACATCATGAAATATTCGGTTTTATTTAGAACTCGATCAGGAAGTAGAAGAACGGCGGAAGAAAGAAGAAGTTGAAGCGGCAAGAATCATTGAAGATGGTACTCTAGATGATCCTATCGAACCCGATGATCCAGATGTACGTGTCAATGCTGTTTTATTTTACAGTGATAGTTACGATTTTGTTTCGTCTTATTGTAGATATCTGATAAAAGAAAATCTGCCAACACACATAAGAAGAAAAATCTGAAGAAAACAGCTAGTCAACGAAAAACAGCTAAAAAACAGATTTCAAATTGTTCAGATTTGATATCGAAAATACTTACTACCATGGAAAAACACAAAGAAGTAGGCCTTTGATTCTCTGTCTTTTCTTCGATGTCTTATTTTGCACATTTATTTTAGGCATTTTTTGCTATTCGTCTACGTAGTCCACTCGCCACTCATCCTCCTGTTAACGATACTGACGCTCTAATACAGTGTGATCTGATGGATACACGAGATTCATTTCTAAATTTTGCACGTGATAAACATTATGAATTTTCGAGTTTGCGTCGAGCTAAATTTTCAACAATGGCACTGTTATATGAGCTACATTCATCCACAACGGATAAATTCACTTACAATTGTAATCATTGTCGTCAACAATGTGACGTTCGGTATCATTGTACGGTATGTGAAGATTTTGATCTATGTGAAAAATGTTATATTCAAGAAAAGCATGAACACAAAATGGAACGATCAGTACAACCATCGTTAGTCGATGTTGGTAATGATGATCATAGTGCGAATAATCCAAATGGGGATAAATCATTAACTACCCCACAACTACAGAGACAACAATCGATGCAACGTTGTATCGAAGCCCTTTTACATGCTGTCAATTGTCGAAATGCTAACTGTATTAATCGCAGCTGTTTGCGATATAAACGAGTTATTCAACATACAAAAGATTGTAAAGGAAAAAATAGTCAATGTAATATATGTAAACAAGTGATATTTTTATGCTGGTATCATGCAAAAAGTTGTAACGAACAAAATTGTCAGGTACGTCGTCTGGTGGTAAGTGAATTCAACAACAAATAACACTGTCGTTTTTTTTAGGTACCATTCTGTACAAATCTGAAAACGAAAATTCAAAAACAACGTGCTACAAATCACCAAATGGATCGTCGACGAATGTATGCAACTATGCAACAACGATCAAATACAATGCAGCCAGGTAGTAAAGCAGTATGCTTCCATCACAAATGTTCTTGACAGACATATGGCCTTTCAATCTCTTTTCCACTGATGAGGAAACCTATCCAAGTAATACCTTCCGATTTCTTTCGTTTATACGTCAATCGACAGAGGGTATCCTAAAAGGATTTTCCCTCATGACTCTTGAAGAGCCGGATTTCTGGAAAAAGATTTCGTGGGGGAAAATCCTTTTAGGCTTTTTACTAGCTCGATACCCGCTATCGATCGACGTATGAACGAACGAAATTGGAAGGTATCACTTGGATAGGTTTCCTCGTGAGTAAAAATATGCCAAGTAAATTCAGTAAAATAGAGTATACTGTTTAAATAAGATTATTTTATGCTTTTCCTTCACCGGAGTTTAGGTTTCTTGATTGTTTTGAAAAAGGCAAAGAGTGGCAGGAGAAAAAATGAATTTTTTTTTGTGAGATCGTAAACAATGCTCGGATCATCCGCTCTTATCATATTTACTTAATATTTTACTAATGAAATTTTCTTTTTCAGTACCCAGCTCATCATCTCTTAATCCACGTTCTGATTCTATCAATAATCATCAATCCGGTGGTTCTCCATCGTCGGGAAAACCGTCAGTCTCCACAACGATGCTTGTACCATCACTCTCAACAAATCGTCTACCCACAAATGTGATATCTGCCCAACAAATTGCTGCGATGAGCGGAGGTAGTTTACCACCGATGAATCAGCAGTGGACATCTCAACAACAACAGACATCTCGTACATATCAAAATCAAAGTGGTAAACCAACGAATGTAACTGGCAACATGCCACCGTCATTCATAAACAATAATAATAATAATAATAATAATAATAATAATACTAACAATAATAATAATAATAATAATAATAATAACACAAACACTATGCTACGCGTTGTAAACGGTCCACTAATTAACCAAGGATCTGGAAATGGTAGTATACTTCTTCATAAACCACAACAAATTGTTCATTCACAATCTGTGGGTAGTGGACTAATGACCGCTACGAACGATACAGACATGTTAAATGTCATGATTAATCGTGTTAAACATGATCCATCGTCGATTGATACAAACGATCATCATAACACAAACAATAGTGAATCAAAACAAACTCCACCAATATTCCACTCTCTGTTACAAAATAAAAGTTATAATCGACCACAATCAGGAATGAGTTATATGACAACACCAACAAATGGATCTAACATTATGCCAACAAATAGTACTTGGTTAACAGCTCAACCGTCACCACCACAACAACAATTTCAACCACCTAATTATAATATCGCCACACGCCAAATGTTGCGACCTCAACAACAACAAACATCGAATCAATCACCACAAACTATTTTAGCATTACGTTCTCCTTCTCCGTCACAGCAACAACAACAACAAGTCGTTGTAGGTTATTTAAGAACACAAAATAACGCTACTACTACTAATACTTCGAATCCAAATTCGCTTCAGAGACAGTCCACAAATATGACCACACGTCTACCATCGCCAATTGTTGATCACCAATCGACACCACCATCTTTAAATAAATAATGTTTCTCTTTGTTTTAAAAAAATTTATTTTACTCCTACTATGAAATTCAAGAAAAATTTGCTTAGATATATTTCGATGATCTATTCCTTTTATTTGTTTTCCACACAGTTGAAGTGAAGAACAAATATTAATCCCTATTGCTCTCTTTATTTAAATGTTAAAAACATCGTTGTTTTCTTTTTTGTGTTGTTGTTCTTTTCTTTTTTTACCGTCAGTGTGTTTTTTCTATATATATGCAAAGCAAGTGCACACAAAAAGAAGAAACAACAACAAATCTTTTTTTTGTTTATTTTGCAAGAGCTAGTTGAAAAACAGAACCGTCATTTTTTTGTTTGTCGTCTTTGTATATAAGATGATCTTTTGTGTGTGTGTGTGTGTGTAGATATACTCGTACTTACGTAATTTCAGTATTTGCTGTTAACCCCCTCCCATAATCTTCAGAAAAAAAAACAGAACTTTTTTATTAACAAACAATGATTATTTGTTTTTTCTTGTTGTCGACCAAAAATAAAAGGCGTTTTCTGTTTTCGAGCACTTGTTGATTTTTCTTGTTTTTTGTTCTTTTTGTGTTCACTGTTTTGAATTGCGCTTTTTCATCTTTTTTTCTCTCTCTGTAATTTTTTTTAGAACGAGAAAATAAGAAAAGAATTTAACAATTAGAAATTTTGACTTTTTTTCTTATATAAATAAAGATAAAAATTATAATAGTCAAAAGAAGAATAGATAAAGCAACGTCGTATTCCGTTTATTGAACATAAAGTTAGGTTGTAATTCATAGAGATATATTAGACAGAGAAGAACAAAAGTTAAAAAGATAAAAATCTAAAACCGAAAGTTAAAAAATAAACTGATGAAAGACAAATAAAATTTGATATACAGAATTTTACGGCTTATCTAACTGAGAAAAAATACTCATTTGTTTTCGAATTATGCTTACCAACTGAAGCTAACATTAATTAAACTAGGAACATCTATCATTGTAACTTTTATTCTGTTCCTTAAAGTGGAACAATTTGTTTGTTTTGAAGTCTTAAAGGCTTAGATATTTTAGTTTTTTTGTTTTGGATAGTTATGAAGTACCAACGGCTTGTCCGCGTAACGCGACACTTCGCTGATTAAGTGTTTTTTTCAAAAGTAAACGAAACCGTTGTAGAGCATAGTCGAAAGAGTCAGAAAATGTATTTTCTTTTTTTCGAGTGAGTCCTGTGAGCCGTTATATGGTACGCAGTAACTGGAACGAACCATCTTGTTCGTCACATCTTTTGTCTTCTTGTTTTCAAAATGGTGACAAGAACATGATTGTTCACACAGACTTTAAACTCGCTTTGAGCCAACTTTTTTTGCCACGCATACGATAAAGGTGTTGTAATCGGAAAATACTGTTAAACGTCTGGTTTGGTTGGCAGCAGGGACCTGTCGTTCAGCTGACGAGGAAACCTATGGACGCGTCTGACTCCGATTTCGTTCGTTCATACGTCAATCAACAGAGGGCATCGAGCTTGTAAAAAGCTAAAAATAATTTATGCCGATGGCTCTTCGTTCAAAAGTTATGGCCATTTTTCTGTTTTTTCAGCAAAATATAGCTGTAAGTTCACATTTTCACCATAAACTTTCAATTTTTTCTCAAAACCAACATCATATTTCGAATCAGCGTAAAAAACTGCATTGAACAATCCTTGTTTCGTGATTTTTAAACAACTTTAGTTTTTCAGTAAAAATTTCGATTGAGAAATTCGTAAAAAATCACGAAACAAGGATTGTTCAATGCAGTTTTTTACGCTGATTCGAAATATGATGTTGGTTTTGAGAAAAAATTTGAAGAAAAAAAACAAAGAAAATAATTCTTATTGAATTTACGAAATATGACATTGAAATATCTAAGCTGAAATTGAAAAATCTTTTTAAAGCTGCAAAACCAGTACCGGAAACTCTAAAAACTCATTCCATTAAAGTTGTTGATAAAAATACTCTCGAATGTCGTTATTATTTAACAAGCTTAAAAAAGAAAACCGTAAAATACTGACAGTAGATTCCTACAGTTGTTAGTTAGGCGGAGAAGAGTAGGTTTGAGGCAAACGCAGAACACGGTTTTTAGTTGTGAAACTCGAAAAAATATCTATCACGAGGCCTAAAAAACCTATTCAGTCGAATTCTAACTGATTTGTAGTGGGGATACGCAAGAGAAAAAAAGTATGTCACAGCGTTATCCATCTAAAAAAGTTTTCTGGAAGCTTGAGTCTTTAACCAAAAATCTTCGGTTTTATGCTCAAAGTAGAGTAAGAAGAGCCGCGTCGAATGGCGCTAAAACGAACTTTCTAGCTCTTATAGTTTTCGAAAAAACCTCAAATTACTGTGTCAAAAATGTCACAGCGTTACCTTTGGACAAGCCACCAATCAGAAAAGGTACACAAAAAATGGCTGGTCGAGGGATAATGACCAGTGGTGGTTCGATCGGGGGGGGGGGTTTACTCCCCCCCATACTTTTTTAAAAAATTTGGTCAAATTTACTCCCAATTTGTGAAAAAATATGAACGATTTACTCTCATTTCGGAGAAACTCAGAGAGTGATTTACTCCGATTTTAAACAAAATCAAGAGCGAAATTTGAAAAAAGATAAGAACGATTTACTCCGAATTTCGGAGAAACCTGAGGGATGATTTACTCCGATTTTGGTTTTTTCGAATACTAAAGTGCTGCTTTCTCCGAAAACCGATATTAAATCATTTAATTTAAATGTGTTCTTTGAAGAAGCTTTCTTAATCGACTTAGATGATTTATTTTTATTTTTTTCCACCTGAGAAAATTACAGTATAAATTTAGAACTTTGCTCTACGACGGACGGCCCTCAAAATATTCTCGTCCATTACATCCATCAATTCATGCGTTACAAACTTATGAGGCAACGCCTGAGGATTTCGAAAACACGTGCAATTTTGCTGAAAGCCAGTAAGGTATCGAAAAATCAATAGGTTTTAATGTTGCGTTTTTTATACATGGTTTGATAGAGCTCGTCGATCTAGAAAAGAAAATATGTGTTTTAATGTTTGAAAACATTTTTCATGGAAATCTCAGTAGTGTTTCGACGTAAAAATTAAAAAAACACAAAGTCGCATAGCATAAAAGAAGTATATCATTCGACTCAGTTTTTGACGCTGATTCCGAATATGATATTTTTACTGCATAAAAATATCATATTCGGAATCA